AGGAAACCGCTCAGGGATTTCACCATGAGGTCAATGGTGACTTTAAAATAGTTAGAGTTTAATGGCTCGGACAGGAGAAAACTGAGGATGGATCAACAACATTGTAGTTACTCCACAATACTAACCTAAATGACAGAGTGAAAAGAAGCTTGTACAGAATACAAATATTCCAAAACATTCATCCTGTTTGCAACAAGGCACTGAAGTAATCAATCAATCAATCAATTTTATTTTATATAGCCCTTCTTACATCAGCTAATATCTCGAAGTGCTGTACAGAAACCCAGCCTAAAACCCCAAACAGCTAGTAATGCAGGTGTAGAAGCACGGTGGCTAGGAAAAACTCCCTAGAAAGGCGAAAACCTAGGAAGAAACCTAGAGAGGAACCAGGCTATGAGGGGTGGCCAGTCCTCTTCTGGCTGTGCCGGGTGAAGATTATAACAGAACCATGCCAAGATGTTCAAAAATGTTCATAAGTGACAAGCATGGTCAAATAATAATCAGGAATAAATCTCAGTTGGCTTTTCATAGCCGATCATTAAGAGTTGAAAACAGCAGGTCTGGGACAGGTAGGGGTTCCATAACCGCAGGCAGAACAGTTGAAACTGGAATAGCAGCAAGGCCAGGCGGACTGGGGACAGCAAGGAGTCACCACGGCCGGTAGTCCCGACGTATGGTCCTAGGGCTCAGGTCTCTCAGTTGGCTTTTCATAGCCGATCATTAAGAGTTGAAAACAGCAGGTCTGGGACAGGTAGGGGTTTCGTAACCGCAGGCAGAACAGTTGAAACTGGAATAGCAGCAAGGCCAGGCGGACTGGGGACAGCAAGGTGTCATCATGCCCGGTAGTCCTGACGTATGGTCCTAGGGCTCAGGTTCTCAGAGAGAAAGAGAGAACGAGAGAATTAGAGAGAGCATACTTAAATTCACACAGGACACTGGATAAGACAGGAGAAGTACTCCAGGTATAACCAACTAACCCCAGCCCCCCGACACATAAACTACTGCAGCATAAATACTGGAGGCTGAGACAGGAGCGGTCCGGAGACACTGTGGCCCCATCCGAAGAAACCCCCGGACAGGGCCAAACAGGAAGGATATAACCCCACCCACTCTGCCAAAGCACAGCCCCCGCACCACTAGAGGGATATCCTCAACCACCAACTTACAATCCTGAGACAAGGCCGAGTATAGCCCACAGAGGTCTCCACCACAGCACAAACCAAGGGGGGGGCGCCAACCCAGACAGGAAGATCACGTCAGTAACTCAACCCACTCAAGTGACGCACCCCTCCCAGGGACGGCATGAAAGAGCACCAGCAAGCCAGTGACTCAGCCCCTGCAACAGGGTTAGAGGCAGAGAACCCCAGTGGAGAGGGGAACCGGCCTGGCAGAGACAGCAAGGGCTGTTCGTTGCTCCAGAGCCTTTCCGTTCACCTTCACACTCCTGGGCCAGACTACACTCAATCATATGACCTACTGAAGAGATAAGTCTTCAGTAAAGACTTAAAGGTTGAGACCGAGTCTGCGTCTCTCACATGGGTAGGCAGACTGTTCCATAAAAATGGAGATCTATAGGAGAAAGCCCTGCCTCCCGCTGTTTGCTTAGAAATTCTAGGGACAATTAGGAGGCCTGCGTCTTGTGACCGTAGCGTACGTATTGGTATGTACGGCAGGACCAACTCGGAAAGATAGGTAGGAGCAAGCCCATGTAACGCTTTATAGGTTAACAGTAAAACCTTGAAATCAGCCCTTGCCTTAACAGGAAGCCAGTGTAGGGAAGCTAGCACTGGAGTAATATGATCAAATTTCTTGGTTCTAGTCAGGATTCTAGCAGCCGTATTTAGCACTAACTGAAGTTTATTTAGTGCTTTATCCGGGTAGCCGGAAAATAGAGCATTGCAGTAGTCTAACCTAGAAGTAACAAATGCATGGATTAATTTTTCTGCATCATTTTTGGACAGAAAATTTCTGATTTTTGCAATGTTACGTAGATGGAAAAAAGCTGTCCTTGAAACAGTCTTGATATGTTCGTCAAAAGAGAGATCAGGGTCAAGAGTAACGCCGAGGTCCTTCACAGTTTTATTTGAGACGACTTTACAACCATCAAGATGAATTGTCAGATTTAACAGAAGATCTCTTTGTTTCTTGGGACCTAGAACAAGCATCTCTGTTTTGTCAGAGTTTAAAAGTAAAAAGTTTTCAGCCATCCACTTCCTTATGTCTGAAACACAGGCTTCTAGCGAGGGCAATTTTGGGGCTTCACCATGTTTCATTGAAATGTACAGCTGTGTGTCATCCGCATAGCAGTGAAAGTTAACATTATGTTTTCGAATAACATCCCCAAGAGGTAAAATATATAGTGAAAACAATAGTGGTCCTAAAACGGAACCTTGAGGAACACCGAAATGTACAGTTGCTTTGTCGGAGGACAGACCATTCACAGAGACAAACTGATATCTTTCCGACAGGTAAGATCTAAACCAGGCCAGAACTTGTCCGTGTAGACCAATTTGGGTTTCCAGTCTCTCCAAAAGAATGTGGTGACCAGACTGAAGCATTTCGTATACATTGTTTGTCTTCAGAAAGGCAGTGAGTTGCTGCGCAACAGCTTTTTCTAAAATTTTTGAGAGGAATGGAAGATTCGATATAGGCCGATAGTTTTTTATATTTTCCGGGTCAAGGTTTGGCTTTTTCAAGAGAGGCTTTATCACTGCCACTTTTAGTGAGTTTGGTACACATCCGGTGGATAGAGAGCTGTTTATTATGTTCAACATAGTAATACTGCAAAGAATTTGACAAAGAAATCAACTCTGTCCTGAATGTAAAGCTTTATGTTTGGGGCAAATCCAACACAGCACATCACTGAGTACCACTCTTCATATTTTATCCATTTTAGAATAAGGCTGTAACATAACAAAATGTGGAAAAAGTCAAGGTATCTGAATACTTTACGAATGCACTGTATATATTTTATGTTTACATTAGAATTTTGACTACAGACTTTACGAAAATACAACTGAGTTGTTATTATTATTATTATTATTATTATTATTATCTACCTAATTCCATTTCAAATTCGGCTCCCAGTGGCTACAAATGGCTCCCAGTGGCTATTTTAAGGGAGAGCGTCTGAGCTGTGTTTTATTAATGTGCTGTTAAGGGAGAGCGTCTGAGCTGTGTTTTATTAATGTGCTGTTAAGGGAGAGCGTCTGAGCTGTGTTTTATTAATGTGCTGTTAAGGGACAGCGTCTGAGCTGTGTTTTATTAATGTGCTGTTAAGGGAGAGCGTCTGAGCTGTGTTTTATTAATGTGCTGTTAAGGGAGAGCGTCTGAGCTGTATTTTATTAATGTGCTGTTAAGGGAGAGCGTCTGATCTGTGTTTTATTAATGTGCTGTTAAGGGAGAGCGTCTGATCTGTGTTTTATTAATGTGCTGTTAAGGGAGAGCGTCTGATCTGTGTTTTATTAATGTGCTGTTAAGGGAGAGCGTCTGAGCTGTGTTTTATTAATGTGCTGTTAAGGGAGAGCGTCTGATCTGTGTTTTATTAATGTGCTGTTAAGGGAGAGCGTCTGAGCTGTGTTTTATTAATGTGCTGTTAAGGGAGAGCGTCTGATCTGTGTTTTATTAATGTGCTGTTAAGGGAGAGCGTCTGAGCTGTGTTTTATTAATGTGCTGTTAAGGGAGAGCGTCTGAGCTGTGTTTTATTAATGTGCTGTTAAGGGACAGCGTCTGAGCTGTGTTTTATTAATGTGCTGTTAAGGGAGAGCGTCTGAGCTGTGTTTTATTAATGTGCTGTTAAGGGAGAGCGTCTGAGCTGTGTTTTATTAATGTGCTGTTAAGGGAGAGCGTCTGAGCTGTGTTTTATTAATGTGCTGTTAAGGGAGAGCGTCTGAGCTGTGTTTTATTAATGTGCTGTTAAGGGAGAGCGTCTGAGCTGTGTTTTATTAATGTGCTGTTAAGGGAGAGCGTCTGAGCTGTGTTTTATTAATGTGCTGTTAAGGGAGAGCGTCTGAGCTGTGTTTTATTAATGTGCTGTTAAGGGAGAGCGTCTGATCTGTGTTTTATTAATGTGCTGTTAAGGGAGAGCGTCTGAGCTGTGTTTTATTAATGTGCTGTTAAGGGAGAGCGTCTGAGCTGTGTTTTATTAATGTGCTGTTAAGGGAGAGCGTCTGAGCTGTGTTTTATTAATGTGCTGTTAAGGGAGAGCGTCTGAGCTGTGTTTTATTAATGTGCTGTTAAGGGAGAGCGTCTGAGCTGTGTTTTATTAATGTGCTGTTAAGGGAGAGCGTCTGAGCTGTGTTTTATTAATGTGCTGTTAAGGGAGAGCGTCTGAGCTGTGTTTTATTAATGTGCTGTTAAGGGAGAGCGTCTGAGCTGTGTTTTATTAATGTGCTGTTAAGGGACAGCGTCTGAGCTGTGTTTTATTAATGTGCTGTTAAGGGAGAGCGTCTGAGCTGTGTTTTATTAATGTGCTGTTAAGGGAGAGCGTCTGAGCTGTGTTTTATTAATGTGCTGTTAAGGGAGAGCGTCTGACCTGTGTTTTATTAATGTGCTGTTAAGGGAGAGCGTCTGAGCTGTGTTTTATTAATGTGCTGTTAAGGGAGAGAGTCTGAGCTGTGTTTTATTAATGTGCTGTTAAGGGAGAGCGTCTGAGCTGTGTTTTATTAATGTGCTGTTAAGGGAGAGCGTCTGATCTGTGTTTTATTAATGTGCTGTTAAGGGAGAGCGTCTGAGCTGTGTTTTATTAATGTGCTGTTAAGGGAGAGCGTCTGAGCTGTGTTTTATTAATGTGCTGTTAAGGGAGAGCGTCTGAGCTGTGTTTTATTAATGTGCTGTTAAGGGAGAGCGTCTGAGCTGTGTTTTATTAATGTGCTGTTAAGGGAGAGCGTCTGAGCTGTGTTTTATTAATGTGCTGTTAAGGGAGAGCGTCTGATCTGTGTTTTATTAATGTGCTGTTAAGGGAGAGCGTCTGAGCTGTGTTTTATTAATGTGCTGTTAAGGGTGAGCGTCTGAGCCATGCGGTGGGCTGTGCCTTCGCTGCCTGTCTGGAGAGGAAACAGAAGCGAGAGAAGGAGTGTGGCGTCACGGCAACCTTCGACGCCAACAGAACCACCTTCACCAGGGAGGGCTCGTTTCGAGTTACCACGGCAACAGAAGCCGCGGAGCGAGAAGAGGTCATGAGGCAGTTACAGGACAAGAAAGGTGCGTGTTTACTTACCGTAGTCCAACGTCTACATCAGGGCTAGGCGACTAGATTCAACCGCGGGCTGATTTATTTTTGTCGGAGCGGATGGTCGTGGCTGGAACATAATTATATTAATTTGTACACTGCAAATTCACCATAACTAAGCCTAAAAAGAGATTGTATTTGAAAATACCTTGAGTACATTCAGACGTGATCACATATGTCTCTTTTTATATTTGTGGGAATACTTCAACAGATTTCCCTAATTTTTAGCTAAATACATGGTGATTTTACAGTATTTTTTGACCAAAAACAAAAAGACACTTTGGGGACCTGTTACGGACCCCAGGTCTAAATGATGTATCTAATTTTGTCCCCTTACATTCTTCCTCTTCCCACAGCGGAGAGCGATGTCAAGTCTGCAATGCCTCTCTCCTCGGGCCCCAGTGTGGGTGTGGTGAACCAGGCTGTGGCCCCTCTACCAGGGTCCCCCTCCTCCTCCCCTCCCCTGGGCCTCCAGGTTATCCCCCGCAGACACGCCCCAGTGGAGGCCCTGGCCAGACAGAGTTCCTTCAGAGGGTTCCCTGCACTCAACAACAACTCCTCTCCCTTCAAACGGCAGCTGTCCCTCAGGATGAACGATCTGCCCTCTACCCTGCAGAGGAAGTCTGACTTCCCCATGAAGAACACGGGTCATTAGCATTTCTCTTTTTATCATTTCTAATTTTTTTTACTTTGTGTGTCCAACAACAATTCAACATTCACCTTCTGCCACTATTTCTGTCAAGTCGACACGTACAACCACCCGGAACACAGAACCCACTGCAATGCTGCAAGGCTAACGCAGCGTTCCATTGGAAATGAATGTGCTTCTGGTGTACCAAAACGCAATGACACAATGTCGGCGTGATCGAGGCGTTAGCGCATTGGGCCGTTAACCAGCTAAAGATTAAATACCATCTGGTCCTCTGTAGCTCAATTGGTAGAGCACGGCTCTTGTAACGCCAGGGTGGTGGGTTCGATCCCCCGGGGACCACCCATACGTAAAAATGTATGCGCGCATGACTGTAAGTCGCTTTGGATAAAAGCGTCTGCTAAATGGCATATTATTATTATTATTATTATTATTATTATCTGGATAAAATGCTAACACCCTGTATGTTAAAAATACGGTAAGGTAAAACATTAAATGTTATTTTCTTGTGTTCCATGTCCAGTCCAGGAGATGGAGGGAGAGGGGGACAGCATCAGCTCGCTGTGTACCCAGATCACCTCAGCCTTCAGTGGGCCTCCTGAAGACCCCTTCTCCCAGGCCCCAATGCCCCGACCAGCCTCCTCCCCACAGTCACCTGTAACGCCCCCTGGGGCTCAGCCGGGTAACCACATACAACTGTTGCTAGGCAAAATTACACAACTACTGCTCTGTGTGTGTGTGTGTGTGTGTGTGTGTGTGTGTGTGTGTGTGTTAGTGTGTGTGTGTGTGTGTGTGTGTGTGTGTGTGTGTGTGTGTGTGTGTGTGTGTGTGTGTGTGTTAGTGTATTCATATCCTTCCGTAAGCCTGCCAGTGTCTGCATTTCATGCTATTAAAGGTATTAAAGGTATTAAAGGTATTAAAGGTATTAAAGGTATTAAAGGTGCCATATGTAGAAATCGCTCCACCATTTCCTGGTTACTAAAGTTCTAAAGGTTCGCCTAATTTCAGTTTATTTTTGCAAAACAAGCAATGTGTAGTGGTTCGAATCCAGGCTCTGTCGCAGCCGGCCGCGACCGGGAGACTCATGGGCGGCGCACAATTGGCCCAGCGTCGTCCAGGGTAGGGGAGGGAATGGCCGGCAGGGATGTAGCTCAGTTGATAGAGCATGGCGTTTGCAAAAAGCCAGGGATGTGGGTTCGATTCCCACGGGGGGCCAGTATAAAAAAAAAAAAAATGTATTCACTAACTGTAAGTCGCTCTGGATAAGAGCGTCTGCTAAATGACTAAAATGTATGTAAAATGTATATAATCAAAACCGCTATGAAGTATATTTTCAATAACCAGAAATATTATATTTTCAGCTGTTTGAAGCTGGTGTACAGAACCCAAAGTAAAAGACGCAAAACCAAAACGTAAAAAAAACGAAACTTAAGAACGGGGAGCATAGAAATAGCACACATAGAACATATCTACCGCTTCTTAGACTTGCTTTCAATGACAATGACAGATCTATAAAACATTTCTATGTGAATTTGGTTGCGTCGCCAAAAAGTTACATATTGCAGCTTTAACATATTATGAAGTATATACAGTGCATTCGGAAAGCATTCAGACCCCTTCCCTTTTTCCACATTTTGTTACGTTACAGCCTTATTCTAAAATCCTCATCAATCTACACAATACCCCATAATGACAAAGCGAAAACAGGGTTTTAGAAATGTTTGCAAATGTATTAGAAATTAAAAAAACAGATAACTTATTTACATAAGTATTCAGACCCTTTGCTGTGACACTTGAAATTGTGAGCTCAGGTGCATCCTGTTTCCATTAATCATCCTTGAGATGTTTCTACAACTTGATTGGAGTCCACCTGTGGTAAATTCAATTGATTGGACACGATTTGGAAAGGCACACACCTTTCTATATAAGGTCCCAAAGTTGACAGTGCATGTCAGAGCAAAAACCAAGCCATGAGGTCGAAGGAATTGTCCGTAGAGCTCCGAGACAGGATTGTGTCGAGGCACAGATCTCTGGGGAAGGGTACCAAACATTTTCTGCAGCATTGAAGGTCCCCAAGAACACAGTGGCCTCCATCATTCTTAAATGGAAGAAGTTTGGAACCACCAAGACTCTTCCTAGAGCTGGCCGCCCGGCCAAACTGATCAATCGGGGGAGAAGGGCCTTGGTCAGGGAGGTGACCAAGAACCCGATGGTCACTCTGACAGAGCTCCAGAGTTCCTCTGTGGAGATGGGAGAACCTTCCAGAAGGACAACCATCTTTGCAGCACTCCACCAATCAGGCCTTTATGGTAGAGTGGCCAGACGGAAGCCACTCCTCAGTAAAAGGTACATGACAGCCCGCTTGGAGTTTACCAAAAGGCACCTAAAGGACTCTCGGACCATGAGAAACAAGATTCTCTGGTCTGATTAAACCAAAATTGAACTCTTTGACCTGAATGCCAAGCGTCACGTCTGGTGGAAACCTGGCACCATCCCTACGGTGAAGCATGGTGTTGGCAGCGTCATGCTGTGGGGATGTTTTTCAGCGACTGGGAGACTAGAGTCGTGGTCCAAAGTTTTTGAGAATGACACAAGTATTGGTCTTCACAAAGTTTGCTGCTTCAGTGTTTTTAGATATTTTTGTCAGATGTTACTATGGGATACTGAAGTATAATTACAAGCATTCCATAAGTGTCAAAGGCTTTTATTGACAATTACATTAAGTTTATGCAAAGTGTCAATATTTGCAGTGTTGACCCTTCTTTTTCAAGACCTCTGCAATCCGCCTTGGCATGCTGTCAATTAACTTCTGGGCCACATCCTGACTGATGGCAGCCCATTATTGCATAATCAATGCTTGGAGTTTGTCAGAATTTGTGGGTTTTTGTTTGTCCACCCGCCTCTTGAGGATTGACCACAACTTCTCAATGGGATTAAGGTCTGGGGAGTTTCCTGGCCATGGACCCAAAATGTTGATGTTTTGTTCCCCAAGCCACTTAGTTATCACTTTTGCCTTATGGCAAGGTGCTCCATCATGCTGGAAAAGGCATTGTTCATCACCAAACTGTTCTTGGATGGTTGGGAGAAGTGGCTCTCGGAGGATGTGTTGGTACCATTTTTTATTCATGGCTGTGTTCTTAGGCAAAATTGTGAGTGAGCCCACTCCCTTGGCTGAGAAGCAACCCCACACATGAATGGTCTCAGGATGCTTTACTGTTGGCATGACACAGGGCTGATGGTAGCGCTCACCTTGTCTTCTCCGGACAAGCTTTTTTCCGGATGCCCCAAACAATTGGAAAGGGGATTCATCAGAGAAAATGACTTTACCCCAGTCCTCAGCAGTCCAATCTCTGTACCTTTTGCAGAATATCAGTCTGTCCCTGATGTTTTTCCTGGAGAGAAGTGGCTTCCTCGCTGCCCTTCTTGACACCAGGCCATCCTCCAAAAGTCTTCGCCTCACTGTGCGTTCAGATGCACTCACACCTGCCTGCTGCCATTCATGAGCAAGCTCTGCACTGGTGGTGCACCGATCCTGCAGCTGAATCAACTTTAGGGGACGGTCCTGGCGCTTGCTGGACTTTCTTGGGCGCCCTGAAGCCTTCTTGACAACAATTGAACCTCTCTCCTTGAAGTTCTTGATGGTCCGATAAATGGTTGATTTAGGTGCAATCTTACTAGCAGCAATATCCTTGCCTGTGAAGCCCTTTTTGTGCAAAGCAATGATGAAGGCACATGTTTCCTTGCAGGTAACCATGGTTAACAGGAAGAACAATGATTTCAAGCACCACCCTCCTTTTAAAGCTTCCAGTCTGTTATTCTAACTCAATCAGCATGACAGAGTGATCTCCAGCCTTGTCCTCGTCAACACTCTCACCTGTGTTAACGAGAGAATCACTGACATGATGTCAGCTGGTCCTTTTGTGGCAGGGCTGAAATGCAGTGGAAATGTTTTTTGGTGATTAAGTTCATTTTCATGGCAAAGAGGGACTTTGCAATTAATTGCAATTCATCTGATCACTCTTCATAACATTCTGGAGTATATGCAAATTGCCATCATAAAAACGGAGGCAGCAGACTTTGTGAAAATTTATATTTGTGTCATTCTCAACTTTTGACCACGACTGTAGTCAGGATCGAGGAAAAGATGAACGGAGCAAAGTACAGAGAGATCCTGTATGAAAACCTGCCCAAGAGTGCTCAGGACCTCAAACTGGGGCGAAGGTTCACCTTCCAACAGGACAACAACCCTAAGCACACAGCCAAGACAACGCAGGAGTGGCTTTGGGACAAGTCTCAATGTCCTTGAGTGGCCCAGCCAGAGCCCGGACTTGAACCCGATCGAACATCTCTGGAGAGACCGGAAAATAGCTGTCCAGCGACGCTCCCCATCTTAATCTAGCAGAACTTGAGAGGATCTGTAGAGAAGAATGGGAGAAACTCCCCAAATACAGGTGTGCCAAGCTTGTAGCGTCATACCCAAGAAGACTCGAGGTTGTAATCGCTACCAAAGGTGCTTCAACAAAGTACTGAGTAAAGGGTCTGAATACTTATGAAAATGTATTGTCTATACTACTAATGCTAGATACACTCTCTCTCTCTCTCTCTCTGCTGTCCTGTTTGCTGTTCACTCTGCCGTAGTGAACGGTACCGGTCCTGCCTTCCCCGCCACTGCTGCTGCTAACTCTCCAGTACTGCCCCCTCCACTGCCTGCTCGAGACACTAACCCCTGGGCCAAGACCCCAGGCCCCCACTGCCAAGCAGGGCAACATACCTCGGCCTCCTCCTCCGCACACCCAGGTAAGGACTGGTGCATAGAAATGGATTTAGAAGCCTCAGGTCCCTTGGTGTTTGTGGCTACTAGTGTGGTTGTTCTGTGTCTATGGACTGGGACACCAGAACAGACAGGCTGGTTGTTCTGTTTCTATGGACTGGGACACCAGAACAGACAGGCTGGTTGTTCTGTTTCTATGGACTGGGATACCAGAACAGACAGGCTGGTTGTTCTGTTTCTATGGACTGGGACACCAGAACAGACAGGCTGGTTGTTCTGTTTCTATGGACTGGGATACCAGAACAGACAGGCTGGTTGTTCTGTTTCTATGGACTGGGACACCAGAACAGACAGGCTGGTTGTTCTGTTTCTATGGACTGGGACACCAGAACAGACAGGCTGGTTGTTCTGTTTCTATGGACTGGGATACCAGAACAGACAGGCTGGTTGTTCTGTTTCTATGGACTGGGACACCAGAACAGACAGGCTGGTTGTTCTGTGTCTATGGACTGGGATACCAGAACAGACAGGCTGGTTGTTCTGTTTCTATGGACTGGGACACCCAGAACAGACAGGCTGGTTGTTCTGTTTTCTATGGACTGGGACACCAGAACAGACAGGCTGGTTGTTCTGTTTCTATGGACTGGGATACCAGAACAGACAGGCTGGTTGTTCTGTTTCTATGGACTGGGACACCAGAACAGACAGGCTGGTTGTTCTGTTTCTATGGACTGGACACCAGAACAGACAGCTGGTTTTTCTGTTTCTTTTGGACTGGGATACCGAACAGACGGGCTGGTTGTTCTGTTTCATGGACTGGGACACCAGAAACAACAGGCTGGTTTTTCTTTTTTCTATGGACTGGGACACCAGAACAGAACAGACGGGCTGGTTGTTCTGTTTCTATGGACTGGGACACCAGAACAGACAGGCTGGTTGCTCTGTTTCTATGGACTGGGACACCAGAACAACAACGGGCGGGTTGTTCTTTTTTCTTGGACTGGGACAACCAGAAACAGACAGGTTTGGTTGCTCTGTTTCTATGGACTGGGACACCAGAACAGAACAGACGGGCTGGTTGCTCGGGTTTATATGGACTGGGACACCAAACGGAACAGACGGGTGGGTTGTCTGTTCTATGGACTGGGACACCCAGAACAGAACAGACAGGCTGGTTGCTCTGTTTCTATGGACTGGGACACCAGAACAGAACAGCTGGTTGTTCTGTTTCTATGGACTGGGACACCAGAACAGACAGGCTGGTTGCTCTGTTTCTATGGACTGGGACACAGGATACCAAAACGCTAACCAGCCTGGATTCCACTAAGACACCTGACGGATTCCACAGCAAGCGTTACATGGGAAGAGTGCTTAGCAAGTTAGCAACGTCATGATTGTTGTCAATCAATCAATCAAATCAAATCTATCGATAATGCTCTTTTTACATCAGCTGTTGTCACAGTGTTATTGTACAATTATTCACATTTGAGATGCTTTCAGGTACAATTCAGTGATCATTAGTACCTCCCAGACTTCTATTGAACATTCTCTGGTGTTTCCTCTAACAGGAGGTGATTGGACAACAACCCCTGTGATTGTAGCTCCTCCCACCACCACGGCATCCCCGTTGCACCACTCCCACCGGCGCACGCCGTCAGAGGCTGACCGCTGGCTTGAGGAGGTCACCAAGTCTATCTGCGCTCTGCAGCCCGCGTCCACACCCCCCTTCCAACCGTTCCTCACCCCCAACCCCCCAGCCCCAGCCTTCTCCACCACCCCAACCCAGGCTTTCGCTGTCCCCTCACCCGCTGCCCAGGCGTTCTCAACCACACAACCCCCAGCCCAGCCCTTCTCTGCCCCCATGACTGTGCCATCGGTTGCCCCTGTGGCCTTCATGTCCTCCCTGCCCCCTCGCCAGCCTGCCTACCCCATGTCCAACGGGCTGCCCTATGCCCACCCAAGTGTGCCCGTGGTGGGCATAACCTCCTCTCAGATGGTAGCCAATTTGATTGGTTCAGCCCCCCAGCCCCAGCCGTACCCCGTCCCCCAGTATGATCCTGCTCAGCACACCGTGGGTATCCCTTACAAAAAACCCCCACCAGCAGCCCTCTATGCCCCTCCCCGTCCCCCTCCAGCCGCCCAATGGGAGTGTAGCCTTCAACGGGGGCGGAGCCGACAGCTGGGCCCCTCCCTTCCTGCCCCCTCAGTCCGCCCCGGCCCCTCCCCTGCCCTCACAGCTCCAGCCTGCGGCCGACCCCTTCGAGGCCAAGTGGGCCGCCCTGGAGAGCCGGTCCCGTCAACGCACCACGCCGTCACCCACTAACCCCTTCTCCTCCGAGCTGCACACAACCTTTGAGATCCAGCTCTAGAGACTGGGAGGAGGAGGAGGAGGAAGAGGAGGAGGAGGAGGCTGTTCTGTTGATTGTGCAGGTTGGTGAGAGACAGGAGACAGGAGATAGGAGCAGATATAGCCTGGTCTGGCTTAGTGGAGGACCTGAGTGAGGGAGGAGGGAGGAGGGTGGCTATGGATGGGTGAAGCTGCTGGCAGCGGTGAGAGGTCATGGAGAGATGGAAGTATTGAGGTGCAGCTGCTTACCAGGCATGTCATGTGTATTGTGGGTTTAGTTGCTTTGGATGGACATGATGACCCTGTGTAGTGGTGAAGCTGCCCACCCAACATCAAACCCAGCCCCAACCCCAACCAGCCACCCAGCCCACCCAGCACCACCCACCCCACAGCCCCCACCACCACCCAGCCCCCACCCCACACCACCCAGCCCCACCACACCAGCCCCAACCACAGCCCCAACACCACCCACCCCAGACCACCACCCAGCCCCAACCAACCCCCCACCAGCCACCACCCACAGCCACCCACACCCCACCAGCCACCCCCAGTCCCCACCCACCACCCAGCCCCAACCAGCACCCAGCCCCACCAGCCACCCAGCCCCAACCAGTCAGCCCCAACCAGCCACCCAGCCCCAACCAGCCACCCAGCCCCAACCAGCCACCCAGCCCCACCAGTCACCCAGCCCCACCCAGTCAGCCCCAACCAGTCACCCAGCCCCAACCACCCAGCCCCAACCAGCACCCAGCCCCACCCAGCCACCCACGCCCCCAACCAGTCACCCAGCCCCAACCAGCCACCCAGCCCCAACCAGCCACCCAGCCCCAACCAGCACACCCAGCCCCACCCAGTCACACCCCAGCCACGTCCCCACCCCACAGCACCCAACCCACCCAGCCCCACCCCCAGCACCCAGCCCCACACCCAGCCACCCAGCCCCCACCACCACCACCCGCACCACCCCACCCAGTCCCCAAGCCCCCAACCAGTCCAGCCCACCAGCACCCACCAGCACCCACACCAGCCCCACCCAGTCACGCCACACGCACCACCAGTCACCCAGCCACCACCCACCAGTCAGCCCCAACCAGTCCACCCAGCCACCCAGCCCCACACACCCAGCCCCACCCAGCCCCACATCACCAGCACGCCGCCACACCCAGTCACCCACCAGTCACCCACCCACCAGCCCCACCACCACCAGTCAGCCCAACCCAGTCACCAGCCCCCCAGTCCCCACCCACCCAGCACCCAGCCCCACCAGCCACCCAGCCCCACCAGTCAGCCCCACCCAACCAGTCACCCAGCCCCACCCAGTCAGCCCCAACCAGTCACCCAGCCCACCCAGCCCCAACCAGTCAGCCCCACAGTCACCCAGCCCCACCAGTCACCCCAGCCCAGTCACCCAGTCACCCAGCCCCAACCAGTCACCCAGTCACCCAGCCCACACCCAGTCAGCCCACCCAGCACCCAGTACCAGCCCACCGTCAGCCCACACCAGTCACCCAGCCCCACCCAGTCACCCACCGCCACCCAGCCCACCCAGTCAGCCCCACCCAGTCACCCCAGTCACCAACCCACCACCCCACCGCCACCCAGTCCACCCACCAGTCACCCAGCCCACACCCAGTGATCACCCCACCCAGTCAAGACCACCCAGCACCGTCACCCAGCCCCACCCAGTTCACCCCCATCACACCCACTCACCACACACACCGCACCACCAACCTCACCTCACCCCAACCGTCACCCAGCCCCAACCATCCAGTCACCCAGCCCAACATACCCGCCACGCAGTCACCCACCAGCCACCAGTCCACACTCCACCAGTCAGCCTCACCAGTCCCCACCTTCACCATGCCACCACAGGACTGCAGCACTGAAAGAGTACGGAGCTTCCCGACCAGAGGTTCTCATCTAAAACTTCAAAATCAGAAGTGAGAGAATGCCAAAATCTTTATTTTTATGCATTAAGGTATATTTTAAATAGCTTTGGAAATCTAACGGAAGAGTTGTAAGTAATGTTTGCCAAAAGGCACAGAGCCTAACTAGCTACGATGAGAATGAGTGGATGTGTATACGAGAACATATATTATACATAAAATCGATATCTATTAAGAATATAACAGTATACACAGCAACACAACTCACGGCAGCAGTCTGATTTCTATGACAATGTAAAGAGAGAATGTGTTTGTTTGAAAGGCACAGCTGTTTTGCTTCTTCTTTTTAAAGAATTCTGTCTTATCGCCGTTGACTGGCTTGTATGTGCATCTCACTGTAAATAGTAAATCATCATTGCAGCAACAATCAATGTGGTGCCAGCGGGCAGCAGCGGTGGTGGTGTTAGTAAGGGCCAAGGGTGTATTCACTAGGAACCAACCGGAATGAAAAGGGGGGAGGGACATACCTGAATTTGTCCAATAGGAACTCATTTCCGATTGCGAAAGCTTTTTCCGTTTGGAGTAAACGGTTTCCGGTGCAAAACGTTTTGGTACGGTGTGGCACTAATTAATACAGCCCAGGTTGCCTCTCTGCTTTCTACATCTCTGCTCTCTCAAGTCTCCTTACTGTGATAGTACTAGTCTAGTACTCGATAGTACTCATCAGGACTCAATAGTACTCATCAGTACTTAACTACATTTGACTTCCTCTGTCTTACATATTCATTGTCATTTTATTTTTCTGGTAACGTTTGTTCTTTCTTTTGTATTTTATCACTTTGGACAGTTATCTCCTACTTTTTCTCCTTAAATTATATTTTTCAATGAAAATTATTGATTGATTTTGACAGATCTCCCATTTTATTTGCACAAGCACTGTAGCAGTTGATCATTTGGCCACAGTGATGAATGATGGTCCACAGTCCGTGGCTGTGGGTAATGTATTTGGCCACGGTGATGAATGATGGCTGTGGGTAATGTATGGATGGGTCAGTCATGGATCTAGCTATAGTAACGGATGTATGTGGCTAGGGTTGCAAAATTCCCCGGTTTTCCAGAAATCCTGGTTGGAAAACTCCTTGAAATTTTAGAGGTAATAAACAGGAAATCCAGGAATCCTCCTCCAGCCTTACCTGTGGCAGAAGGATAAGGTTTTCCTGAACTTTTTAAAATCTAACTGTGGTTCTGACAGTGAATCCAGCTGTTTGCAGTAGAAAGAGACAGAGAGAATGTTCTGGTTGCGTCCCAAATGGAAGAGTGTTCCCTAAGTACACTACTTGTGACCAGGACTCTGTGCAGGGAATAGAATGTCTCTCACTCTCATCTGCTAGACTTTTTTTTATTTTTTATCAAGCCTGTGAATATGATCTGTTATCTGATCATGTTTTTATTTTCCATTTTGTAATTATTTCATTACTTTATTTCAATTCTTTCCAGAACAATTTAAGCTAAAAAGATTGAATAAATTGATGGTGGTGGAAACAACAAGCTTCTGGCTGTATTCTTTATGTGTCCATGAGGCCGTTCTTTCAAATCAAATCAAATGTTACTTGTCACATGCTTTTTTTTTAAACAACAGGTGTAGACTGAAAGACGATTTTTATGCTTGATCCGAAAATGTGGTCGGAGTCTCTGAATGGAGGGTGTGACGTAATTGCGGAGCCTCCGGGTGCATGCAGAGGCCAAATTGAGCTCCGTACCTCATCTAGGTGCTGCACGGCCAATGCAGATGAAGGATTGACCATGTAGCGCCTTTTAACAGTGAAATGTTTACTTACGGGTCCGTTTCTCTTCGCTTATTTGAGCAGTTCTTGCCATAATATGGACTTGGTCTTTTACCAAATAGGGCTATATTCTGTATACCCCCCCCCCCTACCTTGTCACAACACAACTGATTGGCTCAAACGCATTAAGAAGGAAATAAATTCCACTAATTAACTTTTAACAAAGCACACCTGTTAATTGAAATGGATTCCAGATGACTACCTATCTAAAATCTAATCTAAAATATATTTTGATTTGTTTAACAATTTTTTGGTTACTACATGATTCCATATGTGTTATTTCATAGTTTTGATGTCTTCACTATTATTCTACAATGTAGAAAATAGTAAAAATAAAGAAAAACCCTGGAATGAGTAGGTGTAGATGAAAAACGCATGTCAAAAATGTTATAAATTGATTTGCATTTTAATGAGGGAAATAAGTATTTGACCCCCTCTCAATCAGAAAGATTTCTGGCTCCCAGGTGTCTTTTATACAGGTAACGAGCTGAGATTAGGAGCACACTCTTAAAGGGAGTGCTCCTAATCTCAGTTTGTTATCTGTATAAAAGACACCTGTCCACAGAAGCAATCAATCAATCAGATTCCAAACTCTCCACCATGGCCAAGACCAAAGAGCTCTCCTTGGATGTCAGGGACAAGATTGTAGACCAACACAAGGCTGGAATGGGCTACAAGACCATCGCCAAATAGCTTGGTGAAAAGGTGACAACAGTTGGTGCGATTATTCGCAAATGGAAGAAACACTAAATAACTGTCAATCTCCCTCGGCCTGGGGCTCTATGCAAGATCTCACCTCGTGGAGTTGCAATGATCAGCCCAGAACTACACGGGAGGATCTTGTCAATGATCTCAAGGCAGCTGGGACCATAGTCACCAAGAAAACAATTGGTAACACACTACGCCGTGAAGGACTGAAATCCTGCAGCGCCCGCAAGGTCCCCCTGCACACGAAAGCACATATACAGGGCCGTCTGAAGTTTGCCAATGAACATCTGAATGATTCAGAGGAGAACTGGGTGAAAATGTTGTGGTCAGATGAGACCAAAATCGAGCTCTTTGGCATCAACTCAACTCGCCGTGTTTGGAGGAGGAGGAATGCTGCCTATGACCCCAAGAACACCATCCCCACCGTCAAACATGGAGGTGGATACATTATGCTTTGGGGGTGTTTTTCTGCTAAGGGGACAGGACAACTTCACCGCATCAAAGGGACGATGGACGGGGCCATGTACCGTCAAATCTTGGGTGAGAACCTCCTTCCCTCAGCCAGGGTATTGAAAATGGGTCGTGGATGGGTATTCCAGCATGACAATGACCCAAAACACACGGCCAAGGCAACAAAGGAGTGGCTCAAGAAGAAGCCCATTAAGGTCCTGGAGTGGCCTAGCCAGTCTCCAGACCTTAATCCCATAGAAAGTCTGTGGAGGGAGCTGAAGGTTTGAGTTGCCAAATGTCAGCCTCGAAACCTTAATGACTTGGAGAAGATCTGCAAAGAGGAGTGGGACAAAATCCCTCCTGAGATGTGTGCAAACCTGGTGGCCAACTACAAGAAACGTCTGACCTCTGTGATTGCCAACAAAGGTTTTGCCACCAAGTACTAAGTCATGTTTTGCAGAGGGGTCAAATACTTATTTCCCTCATTAAAATGCAAATCAATTTATAACATTTTTGATTTTCTGGAAAGAACTGACGTCTGTAGCCATGAAGTGCTTTGAAAGGCTGGTCATGGCTCACATCAACAGCATTATCCCAGAAACCCTACACCCACTCCAATTTGCATACCGCCCCAACAGATCCACAGATGATGCAATCTCTATTGCACTCCACACTGCCCTTTCCCACCTGGACAAGAGGAACACCTACGTGAGAATGCTATTCATTGACTACAGCTCAGCATTCAACACCATAGTGCCCTCTAAGCTCATCACTAAGCTAAGGATCCTGGGACTAAACACCTCCCTCTGCAACTGGATCCTGGACTTCCTGACGGGCCGCCCCCAGGTGGTAAGGGTAGGTAACAACACATCTGTCACACTGATCCTCAACACGGGGGCCCCTCAGGGGTGCGTGCTCAGTCCCCTCCTGTACTCTCTGTTCACCCATGACTGCATGGCCAGGCACGACTCCAACACCATCATTAAGTTTGCCGACGACACAACAGTGGTAGGCCTGATCACCGACAACGATGAGACAGCCTATAGGGAGGAGGTCAGAGATCTGGCCGTGTGGTGCCAGGACAACAACCTCTCCCTCAACGTGACCAAGACAAAGGAGATGATTGTGGACTACAGGAACAAAAAGAGGACTGAGCACGCCCCCATTCTCATCGACGGGGCTGTAGTGGAAACAGGTTGAGAGCTTCAAGTTCGTTGGTGTCCACATCACCAACGAACTATCATGGTCCAAAACACACCAAGACAGTCGTGAAGAGGGCACGACAAAGCCTATTCCCCCTCAGGAGACTAAAAAGATTTGGCATGGGTCCTCAGATCCTCAAAAAATTATACAGCTGCACCATCGAGAGCATCCTGACTGGTTGCATCACCGCCTGGTATGGCAACTGCTTGGCCTCCCGACCGCAAGGCACTACAGAGGGTAGTGCGTACGGCCCAGTACATCACTGGTTGCAACGACATTGGTTATATACAGGTAGTAGGAACATACCATGGCTATATACATGGAGTAGACATAATGGTTATCTACAGGGAGTAGGACATAACATGGGTTATATACAGGGAGTAGAACATAACATGGTTAATATACAGGGAGTAGAACATTAAACAGGGTTATATACAGGGAGTAAACATAACATGGTTATTAAAAGGAGTAGAACATAACATGGTTATATACAGGGAGTAGAACATAACATGGTTATATACAGGGAGTAAACATAACATGGTTATATATACAGGGAGTAACATTAACATGGTTATATACAGGGAGTAGAACATAACATGGTTATATACAGGGAGTAACATTAACATGGTTATATACAGGGAGTAGAACATAACATGGTTATATACAGGGAGTAGAACATAACATGGTTATATACAGGGAGTAAACATTAACATGGTTATATACAGGGAGTAGAACATAACATGGTTATATACAGGGAGTAGAACATAACATGGTTATATACAGGGAGTAACATTAACATGGTTATATACAGGGAGTAGAACATAACATGGTTATATACAGGGAGTAACATTAACATGGTTATATACAGGGAGTAGAACATAACATGGTTATATACGGGGGAAGTAGAACATAACATGGTTATATACAGGAAGTAGAAAATAACATGGTTATATACAGGGAGTAACATTAACATGGTTATATACAGGAAGTAGAACATATCATGGCTATATACAGGGAAGTAGAAAATAACATGGAAATATAAACAGGGAGTACCAGTACTGAATCGTTGTGCAGGGGTACGTGGTAATTGAGGGAGGTATGTACATATACAGTGCATTCGGAAAGTATTCAGACCCCTTTACTTTTTCCACAATTTGTTAGGTTACAGCCTTATTTTATAATGGATAAAATTGCTTTTTTTCCCCCTCATCAATCTACACACAATACCCCATAATGACAAAGCAAAAACAGGTTTTTAGAAATGTTGGCAAATGTATGAAAATAAAAAACTGATATCACATTACATAAGTATTCAGACCCTTTACTCATTATTTGTTGAAGCACCTTTGGCAGTGATTACAGCCTTGAGTCTTCTTAGGTATGACGCTACAAGCTTGGCACACCTGTATTTGGGGAGTTTCTTCCATTCTTCTCTGCAGATCCTCTCAAGCTCTGTCAGGTTGGATGGGGATCCTGCACAGCTACGAAAAATATAGATGAAAACTTGATAGATAGTATCGTCTGCAGCTCATCATGAGGTACTCTAACTCAGGTGAGCAAAAACTTGAGTCTTCCATAACATTAGAGATCGCTCACCAGCTGTTGTTTACACCCCTCCTCCCTTCGTCTTACCTGAGACTGCATTCCGGTCTTGACAATGAGAAAAACCAGTGAAATGTATACTATCCATGTCCTCGTTCAGCCATAACTCTGAGATACATCGAATATTACAGTTTTTCAGGTCCTGTTGATGGGATAGTCTCGAACGAAGCTCATCCAGTTTGTTCTCCAGTGACTGCACGTTCGCCAATAGAACACAGGGCATTGGCGGTCTATTTGCTCACCGACGGAGTCTCGTCAGGATACCACCGCTTCCCATTTGAGTCCCGGGGATTAGGGCCTGGTCCAGAGTAAGCAGAATTTCCAGAACTGTAGAAATGTTCATCCAAATCAGGGTTAGTGGTAATTGTTCTGATGTCCAGAAGCAGTTTTCAGTCATAGGAAATGATGGCGGAGACATTACGTACAAAAAATATTGGACTAATAAAACACACTGCACCATCTTATATCTGACTCCGCTAGTGATTTCCATATATTGAGACAGAAACTTTACCAGGTAAAACTTCAACATCTACACTGCAATATTCGAATAAAGAGGCCATGAGATTGAACATATATTCTTATCAGAAGGAGCTTTTTTCCCAGAAGACAGAATTATTAATTAAATATGTGCATTCAACACATCACAAATACTGTAACTAAATCAATCGGAAATTGCAGGGCAGTCATATTTTTTTTTGACCCAACGTAAGTAATTGTGTTTGATTGGATAATAAATCATAATTAATTGGTTAATTAATTGACGTATTAATTCTCACCTCCCCTGACACTGCGTGGGGGCGCTGTTATGACAACGTCCCCTGTGCGTCGTAATAAATAGAGCCGGAAGCAGAACGTCAACACCTAGAAACCAACTAGTGGACATGTGTATGCTACCAGACAGCGTAATGGTGTGGACGTGAAGAGCCAAGGTAGGTAAAGGCTTGAAATAAGCGTAGCACGCAGAAAGTGGTGGGGAACAAATTACAAATGTCACTCAAGTTGATTGTTACTGACGTAGGCAGCTAGCTGGCTAGACAAGCGAACGTTGGCTACCAAGTTAGGCTAAACTTAACTGAGGAATGTTCACGCTATGATAACAAGCTCATGCTAGCTAGTGACAAACCCCGCAACATCAACAACAAACTAATTGCTATTTACATTTAGATTGTGCGCATTACTTTCGGTCTCGCTTACGCATTCAATGAAGTACCTAGTAGGTTAGCTAAGTGGCTAGGCTGGTTCTTGCTAGTTAGCTCCTCGGCCTCGACGTGTATCTGCATCAGCTGTTGGCTCGCTAGCCCGGTGTTTGTTTGCTAACAACCTAGTTAGCTATATTGACTGACCCTCATCTCATTGTCAGCACACTGACCATCTTTCTAGCGGAAACATCCTGATATCAATTAGTAATGCTTATCAGTAGCTGCTAAGCAGACACGTCAAACAACCTCGTTAGCACCGGGTAGTTAACTGCACTTGTAAACAATGGCAGTGAATTGCGCAATGCTGTCTTAGTTGTCACAGCAGAGCATGTGATACTCAAACGTGCAGCGAACATATATTATAACATGTGGTATTGTTTGACAAGACAAGTGAAGATATGAGTCTACTGCTTTGCCATAATTAATGCATCCTATGGACAATGTATTGTAGACAGTTTGTGTAGGTTCAGATTGACATGTAATGTAACTTATTGCTGATTATCTCATAGGGGATAAGGTGTCTGCCCTAAGCCCAGGAGCAGAGCCTACTAGCCAATAGCCTCTTCTCTTCACACGGATAAAGGCATCAACAAACGAAGGATGTGCCCCAACGCTGACACTATATCCCCAAAGTCTCTATGATCGATCTTCAAATCGGTGTGCAACTTGGTTATAGGTCTTACCTACCTGCGCTCATTTACACACTTCTCAACCAGACAGCCCTAACCAAGTCAGCTCTGCACCTCTGAACCCCAAGATGGCTACTAGACAAAGTGCCCTAACTGCTGCCGTGGTTACCCTGTTGGGGGCCACCTTGGGTGGCCTGTTGCTATGGCGACTGAGAGTCCCAAGGACAAAGAAGCAACAGTTTCCTGCTCAGGGTCAGGTAGGGGTCAGCTCTTGTCCCTTACCTGTGGAACCAGAGCCTGTGGTTCTGGAGTGTAAGAAGCCAGTGGAGTCCCAGACCCAGTCTAAGCCCAAGCCCACCCAGACCCAGCTACCCCCGGGTCAGAGTCTGGTCCTCCCCGCGCCTGCTCTGCTACCCCCTGTTGACCAGGTCCTGGCGGTGCAACCGGTGATGGTAAGCTCTGAGAACGAGTGGGAACAGCTGTGGCCCATGCTGCAGAAGGATCTGTCAGTCTACCCCGTCCTCGGGCTGGACTGCGAATGGGTGAAGAGTCAAACCAAGGGCCTGGGTGTAAGTTTGTTTTGCATGTTTTTAAACATATCATACCATTGGTACCTATTTAGATCGATCTGTGACGCGTCAACCTCGCGGCCGTTTTTCATCCCTCGCTCACGCCCTGACACCTGTCAGTACCTTCCGTCGAAGCTCCTCACTGCCCCCTACCGCTTCACCAGCTCCTCTCAACTCACGCCATCCGCCTCCTGCAGCTCTGACCCCTTCCCTCCTGTCATCTCCCTCCATGACCTCCCTGCAGTCCTACAGCCCCGTGCCTCTCCCCCTCCTCGCCCTTACTCCCACCACTCCTCTAAGCTTGCCGCATCAGTCTCCTACTCTCGCGCCTCCGATCCGCGATCACGTCAACGAAAAACAAAAACGAATAAGACTCCCTCCCATGCCTCGTCACCTTCCCTCCTAACCCCATACCTCCTACCACGACATCATCCCCTTCAAGACGATCCAACGTAACAGAATATCCCCTTCCACTCCTATTACTTCCCTCCTCTCCCTGCCATCCCTCCCATTCCCTCCTCTAACCTCTCCCCTTCCCTCCTCTTCCCTCCTCCTCTCCCTTCCCTCCTCTCCCCTTCCCTCCTCTCCTCTTCCCTCTCTCCCTCCGTCCCCAGGTGTCAGTGAAGGGTCAGACTTCAGCCATCTCTTTGCTCCAGATGGCATCCTACTCTGGCCTGTGTGTGTTGGTGAGGCTGCAGCCGTTCCGTGGTGGCCAGCAGGACCTGCCACTCAGCCTGAAAGAGGTAGGCTGTATGTGATCCTCTGTGGCTCAGCGTGGTGTTTTAAACGCCAGTGTAGTGGGTTCGATTCCCGCCTGGGCCACCAATATGAAAATGAATGCACTCACTATTAGGGCTGGGAATTGCCTGGGACCTCACGATATGATATCATCATACTGAGGGACCTCACCATACGATATTATCACCATACTGAGGGACCTCACCATATGATAATATCACCGTACTTAGGTGCCGAACACGATGTTGCGATTCTCGCGATTTTAGATGTATTGTGATTCAATAGTGTGATTTTTTTTTTTTTTTTTGTGGTTCCACGGTCCAAACATATTGCTCACCATACGTCTGCTGCAGAGGGACGAGGGAGTCATGAGAACGCAGGTTTTGATCAGTCATGGAAATAAAAGTGCCTTTAAACAAATTGGCTCCCTGTTTTAAAAGGATGGAGTCTATGAAGGAAAAACACTGACGTTTTGGTGCAACTACAGCCAACTAGTGCAAAAATTATATAGCGATATTGTAAAAACGCTACGTCATATTATAATAGCCCAATATACACATGGCCTAAAGTATGTGGACACCCCTTCAAATGAGTGGATTTGGCTATTTCAGCCACGCACGTTGCTGACAGGTGTATAGAATCGAGCACACCGCTATGAAATCTCCATAGACCACCGTTTTGCGGTAGAATGGCCTTACTGAAGAGCTCAGTGACTGTCAACGTGGCACCGTCATAGGACGTCACCTTTCCAACAAGTCAGTTCGTCAAATTTCTGCCCTGCTAGAGCTGCCCCGGTCAACTGTGAGTGCTGTTGTTGTGAAGTGGAAACGTCTAGGAGCAACAACGGCTCGGCCGAGAAGCGGTAGGCCACACAAGCTCACAGAACGGGAACGGCGAATGCTGTAGCGCTTAAAAATGGTCTGTCCTCGGTTACAACACTCACTACCGAGTTCCAAACTTCCTCTGGAAGCAACATCCGCACAATAACTGTTCGTCAGGAGCTTCATGAAATGGGTTACAAGCAGAAGATCACCCTGCACAATGCCAAGCGTCGGCTGGAGTGGTGTAAAGCTCACCGCCATTGGACTCTGGAGCAGTCGAAACGCATTCTCTGGAGTGATGAATCTGGGTTTGGCGGATGCCAGGAGAACGCTACCTTCCCGAATGCGTAGTGCCAACTATAAAGTTTGGTGGAGGAGGAATAATGGTTTCGGGCTGTTTTTCATGATTCGGGCTAGGCCCCTTAGTTCCAGTGAAGGGAAATCTTAACGCTACAGCATACAATGACATTCTAGACGATTCTGTGCTTCCAACTTTGTGGCAACTGTTTGGGGAAGGCCCTTCCCTGTTTCAGCATTACAATGCCCCCGTGGGCAAAGCGAGGTCCATACAGAAATGGTTTGTCGAGATCGGTGTGGAAGAACTTGACTGGCCTGCGCAGAGCCTTGACCTCAACCCCATCGAACACCTTTGGGATGAATTGGAACGCCGACTGCGAGCCAGGCCTAATCGTCCAACATCAGTGCCCGACCTCACTAATGTTCTTGTGCCCCCCCCCCATCACTACTCACTATTGTAAGTGGCTTTTGATGGTATATTGTGTGTTTTTGTGTTATTAATTATGTATTTAAAAAATCTATAGGTCCTCAGCGACCCTCACATTCTGAAGGTGGGTGTGGGCTGCTACGAGGACGGGAAGCGTCTGACCCGAGACTATGGTCTGGCGCTGGGGTGTACCGTGGACCTGAGACACCTCGCACTACGACAAAGGTACCACACTAGTTGTTTTTTGTCTGTTTTTAATCATTTCCTCTCAGAATTTTACTGGCACATACAGTACGTAATGCTCAGTCTTATAGTTTTTCAATTTCCTCTCGCGTAAAACTGTCAGACTCTTTTGTCAGTGGCTTCTTCACTTTTCTCTGAGAGAAGTGTCTTCAAGTTTTAATGTCACGTGCACAAGTACAGTGAAATGCATTTCTTGCAAGCTCAAAACCCAACAATGCAGTAATCCATATCCATGTAATACTAAAAGTAATGGGTCAGTTCCAGGGTCGGTTCAATACCGTACTGTGTTCCAGGGTCGGTTCAATACCGTACTGTGTTCCAGGGTCGGTTCAATACCGTACTGTGTTCCAGGGTCGGTTCAATAGCGTACTGTGTTCCAGGGTCGGTTCAATAGCGTACTGTGTTCCAGGGTCGGTTCAATACCGTACTGTGTTCCAGGGTCGGTTCAATAGCGTACTGTGTTCCAGGGTCGGTTCAATACCGCACTGTGTTCCAGGGTCGGTTCAATACCGTACTGTGTTCCAGGGTCGGTTCAATAGCGTACTGTGTTCCAGGGTCGGTTCAATAGCGTACTGTGTTCCAGGGTCGGTTCAATAGCGTACTGTGTTCCAGGGTCGGTTCAATACCGTACTGTGTTCCAGGGTCGGTTCAATAGCGTACTGTGTTCCAGGGTCGGTTCAATACCGTACTGTGTTCCAGGGTCGGTTCAATACCAGACTGTGTTCCAGGGTCGGTTCAATACCATATTAACAATGTGCAGGGATACTGGAGTGATGGAGGTAGATATGTATAGGGGTAAGGTGACTATATACAGGGTCAGTTCCAATACCATATTAACAATGTGCAGGGATACTGGAGTGATGGAGGTAGATATGTATAGGGGTAAGGTGACTATATGCAGGGTCAGTTCCAGTACCATATTAACAATGTGCAGGGATACTGGAGTGATGGAGGTAGATATGTATAGGGGTAAGGTGACTATATACAGGGTCAGTTCCAGAACCATATTAACAATGTGCAGGGATACTGGAGTGATGGAGGTAGATATGTATAGGGGTAAGGTGACTATATACAGGGTCAGTTCCAATACCATATTAACAATGTGCAGGGATACTGGAGTGATGGAGGTAGATATGTATAGGGGTAAGGTGACTATATACAGGGTCAGTTCCAATACCATATTAACAATGTGCAGGGATACTGGAGTGATGGAGGTAGATATGTATAGGGGTAAGGTGACTATATACAGGGTCAGTACCATATTAACAATGTGCAGGGATACTGGAGTGATGGAGGTAGATATGTATAGGGGTAAGGGGACTAGGCATCAGGATATATGATAAACAGAGTAGCAGCAGCATACAGTGCATTCAGAAAGTATTCAGACCCCTTGACTTTTCCCACATTTTGTTACGTTACAGCCTTATTCTAAAATTGATTAATAGATTTTTTTCCCTCAATCTACACACAGTACCCCATAATGACAAAGCAAAAACAGGTTTTTAGACATTTTTTGCAAACTGAAATAATACATTTACATAAGTATTCAGACCCTTTACTCAGTACTTTGTTGAAGCACCTTTGGCAGCGATTACAGCCTCGAGTTTTCTTGGGTATGTTTCTCCCATTCCTCTCTGCAGATCCTCTCAAGCTCTGTCAGGTTGGATGGGGAGCGTTGCTGCACAGCTATTTTCAGGTCTCTAGAGATGTTCGATTGGGGTTCAAGTCCGGGCTCTGGCTGGGCCACTCAAGGACATTCAGAGACTTGTCCCGAAGCCACTCCTGCGTTGTCTTGGCTGTGTGCTTAGGGTCGTTGTCCTGTTGGAAGGTGAACCTTCGCCCCAGTCTGAGGTCCTGAGTGCTCTGGAGCAGGTTTTCATCAAGGATCTCTCTGTACTTTGCTCCGTTCATCTTTGCCTCAATCCTGACTAGTCTCCCAGTCCCTGCCACTGAAAAACATCCCCACAGCATGATGCTTCCACCACCATGCTTCACCGTAGGGATGGTGCCAGGTTTCCTCCAGATGTGACGCTTGGCATTCAGGCCAAAGAGTTCAATCTTGGTTTCATCAGACCAGAGAATCTTGTTTCTCATGGTCTGAGAGTCTTTCGGTGCCTTTTGGCAAACTCCAAGCAGGCTGTCATGTGCCTTTTACTGAGGAGTGGCTTCCGTCTGGCCACTCTACCATAAAGGCCTGATTTGGTGGAGTGCTGCAGAGATGGTTGTCCTTCTGGAATGTTCTCACATCTCCACAGAGGAACTCTGGAGCTCTGTCAGAGTGACCATCAGGTTCTTGGTCACCTCCCTGACCAAGGCCCTTCTCCCCTGATTGCTCAGTTTGGCCGGGCGGCCAGCTCTAGGAAGAGTATTGGTGGTTCCAAACTTCTTCCATTTAAGAATGATGGAGGCCACTGTGCTCTTGGACCTTCAATGCTGCAGAAATGTTTTGGTACCCTTCCCCATATCCTGTGTCTCGACACGATCCTGTCTCGGTGCTCTACGGACAATTCCTTCGACCTCATGGCTTGGTTTTTGCTCTGACATGCACTGTCAACTGTGGGACCTTAAATAGAAAGGTGTATGCCTTTCCAAATCATGTCCAATCAATTGAATTTACCACAGGTGGACTCCAAGTTGTAGAAACATCTCAAGGGTGATCAATGGAAACAGGAGGCACCTGAGCTCAATTTCAAGTCTCAGGAAAGGATCTGAATACTTACACTACCAGTCAAGTTTGGACACACCTACTCATTCAAGGGTTTTTCTTTTTTTACTTTTTTCTACATTGTAGAATAATAGTGAAGACATCAAAACTATGAAATAACACATATGGAATCATGTAGTAACCAAAAAAGTGTTAAACAAATCAAAATGTATTTTAGATTCTTCAAAGTAGCCACCCTTTGCCTTGATGACAGCTTTGCACGCTCTTGGCATTCCCTCAACCAGCTTCATGAGGTAGTCACCTGGAATGCATTTCAATTAACAGGTGTGCCTTCTTAAGTTAATTTTTTGGAATTTATTTCCTTAATGTGTTTGAGCCAATCAGTTGTGTTGTGACAAGGTAGGGGGGATATACAGAAGATATCCCTATTTGGTAAAAGACCAAGTCCATATTATGGCAAGAACAGATCAAATAAGCAAAGAGAAACGACAGTCCATCATTGACTGTCTTAAAGTAATCTGGAAAATTTCATGAACTTTGAAACTTCAAGTGCAGTCGCAAAAACCATCAAGCGCCATGATGAAACTGGCTCTCATGAGGACCGCCACAGGAATGGAAGACCCAGAGTTACCTCTGCTGCAGAGGATGTTCATTAGTTACCAGCCTCAGAAATTGCAGCCCAAATAAATGCTTCACAGAGTTCAAGGAACAGACACATCTCAACACCAACAGTTCTGAGGAGACTGTGTGAAGGTCGAGAGCCATGCGTCCTCTGAAACTCTACCCTGCCGAGCTGCACTGCTTCTTGCATGCTTAACCCGGAAGCCAGCCAAACCTGTGTCGGAGGAAACGCTGTACAACTGGCGACCGAAGTCAGCGTGCATGCGCCCGGCCCGCCACAAGGAGTCGCTAGAGCACGATGGGACAAAGGCATCCCGGCCGGCCAAACCCACCCCTAACCCGGACGACGCTGGGCCAAACCCTCCCCTAACCCGGACGACGCTGGGCCAAACCCTCCCCTAACCCGGACGACGCTGGGCCAAACCCTCCCCTAACCCGGACGACGCTGGGCCAAACCCTCCCCTAACCCGGACGACGCTGGGCCAAACCCTCCCCTAACCCGGACGACGCTGGGCCAAACCCTCCCCTAACCCGGACGATGCTGGGCCAATTGTGCGCCGCCTCATGGATCTCCCGGTCGCGGTCGGCTTCGACACAGCCCGGGAACGAACCAGGGTCTGTAGTGACACCTCAAGCACTACGATGCAGTGCCTTAGACTGCTGCGCCACTCGGGAGGCAACATTTTTGCAAATGTATTAAATGAAATACAGAAATCTCATTTACGTAAGTATTCACACCCCTGAGTCAATACATGTTAGTCACCTTTGGCAGCGATTACAGCTGTGAGTCTTTCTGGGTAACTAAGTCTCTAAGAGCTTTACACACCTGGACTGTAAAATATTTGCCCGTTATTGTTTTCAAATTTCTTCAAGCTCAATCAAGTTGGTTGTTGATCATTGCTAGACAACCATTTAAGTCTTGCCATAGATTCTCAAGCAGATTTAAGTCAAAACTAACTTGGCCACTCCGGTACATTCACTGTCTTCTTGGTAAGCAACTCCAGTGTAGATTTGGCCTTGAGTTTTGGGTTATTGTCCTGCTGAAAGGTGAAATTCATCTCCCAGTGTCTGGTGGAAAGTAGACTGAACTCCGTGACGTACTGGGCTGTCCGCACCGTCCTCTGTAGTGCCATGCGATCGAGGACGGCGCTATTGCCGTACCAAGCAGTGACGCAGCCATTCAAGATGCTCTCAATGGTACAGCTGTCAAACTTTTTGAGTTACCCTCCGTGTCGTCGTGCTTGGCGCTGTCTGTGTGTTTTTACCAGTCTGTATGTGTTTCCGTGCAGGAAGGTAGTGTTGAATAACGGCCTGAGTCTGAAGTCTCTGGCGGACGACTTGCTCAACGTCTCGCTGGAGAAATCCTCGGAGCTGCGCTGTAGTGACTGGGAGGCTGACCAGCTGACCCTAGAACAGGTACACCACTTTACCTGCTGGTGTTCGTTTAGTACAGGATGGGATATGCTGTGTTACAGACACGTTGTTACTCTGCATGTTGAACATCACCTTTTGCAGTTGGACTGTACAGATTAACTGATCTACAAATCACCTTACATCCCAAATAACTCCTCATTATGTGATCAATATTAGCGATTCTGTGCCTTACCTTTTTACAGACATGCAGAGATCTTCTCATTAATTCCCCCCCCCCCCCCACACTATCTCCCCTGAACTTCAGATGACCTACGCAGCCCGGGACGCACAGGTATCCATCGCCCTCTTCTTCCACCTGCTCGGCCTCCACTCGGACGCCACGCCCTCACCTGACACTGGGAGTTGCTACTCCCAGCTGGCCAACTGCTGCCAGGGCCTGGTGGACACACCCTTCAGGGGGCGGGGCGGGGTAGAGGGGGAGGATGGACGGAAGAGCATGGATGGAGAGAGGAGGAGGAGGAGTAGGAAGCTCCAGCAGCCTAGTTTTGAAAGCCCGGAGTCTGGGGACCAGCAAGTTCCAGATCCCAGGAGGAACAACAAGAGAAAACCGCTGGGTGTGGGCTACTCTGCCAGGTGGGTAGGTGTGGGCTAGTCTGCCAGGTGGGTAGGTGTGGGCTAGTCTGCTAGTCTGCCAGGTGGGTAGGTGTGGGCTAGTCTGCTAGTCTGCCAGGTGGGTAGGTGTGGGCTAGTCTGCTAGTCTGCCAGGTGGGTAGGTGTGGGCTAGTCTGCCAGGTGGGTAGGTGTGGGCTACTCTGCCAGGTGGGTAGGTGTGGGCTACTCTGCCAGGTGGGTAGGTGTGGGCTACTCTGCCAGGTGGGTAGGTGTGGGCTAGTCTGCCAGGTGGGTAGGTGTGGGCTAGTCTGCTAGTCTGCCAGGTGGGTAGGTGTGGGCTAGTCTGCCAGGTGGACAGGTGTGGGCTAGTCTGCCAGGTGGGTAGGTGTGGGCTAGTCTACTAGTCTGCCAGGTGGGTAGGTGTGGGCTACTCTGCCAGGTGGGTAGGTGTGGGCTAGTCTGCTAGTCTGCCAGGTGGACAGGTGTGGGCTAGTCTGCCAGGTGGGTAGGTGTGGGCTAGTCTGCCAGGTGGGTAGGTGTGGGCTAGTCCTGCTAGTCTGCCAGGTGGGTAGGTGTGGGCTAGTCTGCCAGGTGGGTAGGTGTGGGCTAGTCTGCCAGGTGGACAGGTGTGGGCTAGTCTGCCAGGTGGGTAGGTGTGGGCTAGTCTGCCAGGTGGGTAGGTGTGGGCTAGTCTGCTAGTCTGCCAGGTAGGTAGGTGTGGGCTAGTCTGCCAGGTGGGTAGGTGTGGGCTAGTCTGCCAGGTGGGTAGGTGTGGGCTAGTCTGCCAGGTGGGTAGGTGTGGGCTAGTCTGCTAGTCTGCCAGGTGGGTAGGTGTGGGCTAGTCTGCCAGGTGGGTAGGTGTGGGCTACTCTGCCAGGTGGGTAGGTGTGGGCTACTCTGCCAGGTGGGTAGGTGTGGGCTACTCTGCCAGGTGGGTAGGTGTGGGCTAGTCTGCCAGGTGGGTAGGTGTGGGCTAGTCTGCTAGTCTGCCAGGTGGGTAGGTGTGGGCTAGTCTGCCAGGTGGACAGGTGTGGGCTAGTCTGCCAGGTGGGTAGGTGTGGGCTAGTCTGCTAGTCTGCCAGGTGGGTAGGTGTGGGCTACTCTGCCAGGTGGGTAGGTGTGGGCTAGTCTGCTAGTCTGCCAGGTGGACAGGTGTGGGCTAGTCTGCCAGGTGGGTAGGTGTGGGCTAGTCTGCCAGGTGGGTAGGTGTGGGCTAGTCTGCTAGTCTGCCAGGTGGGTAGGTGTGGGCTAGTCTGCTAGTCTGCCAGGTGGGTAGGTGTGGGCTAGTCTGCCAGGTGGGTAGGTGTGGGCTAGTCTGCCAGGTGGACAGGTGTGGGCTAGTCTGCCAGGTGGGTAGGTGTGGGCTAGTCTGCCAGGTGGGTAGGTGTGGGCTAGTCTGCTAGTCTGCCAGGTAGGTAGGTGTGGGCTAGTCTGCCAGGTGGGTAGGTGTGGGCTAGTCTGCCAGGTGGGTAGGTGTGGGCTAGTCTGCCAGGTGGGTAGGTGTGGGCTAGTCTGCTAGTCTGCCAGGTGGGTAGGTGTGGGCTACTCTGCCAGGTGGGTAGGTGTGGGCTACTCTGCCAGGTGGGTAGGTGTGGGCTAGTCTGCCAGGTGGGTAGGTGTGGGCTAGTCTGCTAGTCTGCCAGGTGGGTAGGTGTGGGCTAGTCTGCCAGGTGGACAGGTGTGGGCTACTCTGCCAGGTGGGTAGGTGTGGGCTAGTCTGCCAGGTGGGTAGGTGTGGGCTAGTCTGCTAGTCTGCCAGGTGGGTAGGTGTGGGCTACTCTGCCAGGTGGGTAGGTGTGGGCTAGTCGGCTAGTCTGCCAGGTGGGTAGGTGTGGGCTACTCTGCCAGGTGGGTAGGTGTGGGCTAGTCTGCCAGGTGGGTAGGTGTGGGCTAGTCTGCTAGTCTGCCAGGTGGGTAGGTGTGGGCTACTCTGCCAGGTGGGTAGGTGTGGGCTAGTCGGCTAGTCTGCCAGGTGGGTAGGTGTGGGCTAGTCTGCTAGTCTGCCAGGTGGGTAGGTGTGGGCTACTCTGCCAGGTGGGTAGGTGTGGGCTACTCTGCCAGGTGGGTAGGTGTGGGCTACTCTGCCAGGTGGGTAGGTGTGGGCTAGTCGGCTAGTCTGCCAGGTGGGTAGGTGTGGGCTAGTCTGCTAGTCTGCCAGGTGGGTAGGTGTGGGCTAGTCTGCCAGGTGGGTAGGTGTGGGCTACTCTGCCAGGTGGGTAGGTGTGGGCTAGTCGGCTAGTCTGCCAGGTGGGGTAGGTGTGGGCTAGTCTGCCAGGTGGGTAGGTGTGGGCTAGTCTGCCAGGTGGGTAGGTGTGGGCTAGTCTGCCAGGTGGGTAGGTGTGGGCTAGTCTGCCAGGTGGGTAGGTGTGGGCTAGTCTGCCAGGTGGACAGGTGTGGGCTAGTCTGCCAGGTGGACAGGTGTGGGCTAGTCTGCCAGGTGGACAGGTGTGGGCTAGTCTGCCAGGTGGACAGGTGTGGGCTAGTCTGCCAGGTGGACAGGTGTGGGCTAGTCTGCCAGGTGGACAGGTGTGGGCTAGTCTGCCAGGTGGACAGGTGTGGGCTAGTCTGCCAGGTGGACAGGTGTGGGCTAGTCTGCCAGGTGGACAGGTGTGGGCTAGTCTGCCAGGTGGGTAGGTGTGGGCTACTCTGCCAGGTGGGTAGGTGTGGGCTACTCTGCCAGGTGGGTAGGTGTGGGCTACTCTGCCAGGTGGGTAGGTGTGGGCTAGTCTGCCAGGTGGACAGGTGTGGGCTAGTCTGCCAGGTGGACAGGTGTGGGCTAGTCTGCCAGGTGGACAGGTGTGGGCTAGTCTGCCAGGTGTTGCAGATATTTTGAGATGCCAGTTGGCAATGTTATCATACATTGTTATTTTCCTTAGTGTCATAGGAAAGATGAATACTCATATTAGAAAACATGTTGGTGACCATCTGGGGCCGCTGGCACCAGTTGTGTTAAAAAAAAAGTTGGTCTTAAATGCTAGGTCTGGCATAGCTATGGGCGACTTTGTGATCAGAATTTACACCTTTTGCACCAACCAAAAAATAAGACTAGTAGCTAAGTCCTGCGTAAGCAATGCATGTTCATGAGATTTGATGCTTCGTAATGATGATTGCTATGTAGCGACGGTTACTAGACTGTTACCGTCCTCATGGCGGTTCTGAACCGGGTTGCCATGTCCGCGATTTTTTTTTTGCGGGTGAAAAATGTATTGGTCGCGGGTTTTTGGTCTACTTCTAAATTGCACCGTGGCAGCGAGGGCATTTTTCTTTTAAAATATTTCACTGTGACCTGCTGCTGCAGACGATCAGAGCGAGAGGACACTGAAAACAGGCGCGCACGTCATGACAACTTTTTACCAGTTGTAGGTAGGCTGTTTTTAGATTGTCATTATGGAGACATTTTCCAACCCAGCTAGAACTGATGCGCATCAAGAAATAAGGTCCAGTGAAAGTTGCGCCATTGTCTATATACTTAAATATATGATTCAGTGATTTAAACTACGACCCCATCCCCAGTAGCATGTTCCAGCTGGCTATTGGGAAACAGCAGCGCTATTCATGTTATATAAATTAGTCTGTCAATTTGAACTAAGCAAGCTGCTAAATCGTCCATTTTACATCTAGCCTACGGTAGCCTAGGCAATCAGGGGCTATAGGCTACCTGCATCTAGCTAACCAAACCATGGCAAAGTTGAATTGCAATCATAAACCCAGATTTGAGTAGGCCTAGCCTATTGAAATGACAAGTCAATCTAGCAAAATAGGCCGTGTATAATGGTTTGTTGTGGTCTTAACATCGGGCACGTAATAACGGCACAATTGCCCGAATATAGCCTAACATTTTTTAGAAGGTTATTCAAGTGTTTCTTGCGCGGAGTTTTCGAGCTCCTTTGTCCAACTTTCATCCCTCAAACTCTCCTGTTGGATTTATCTATTATGCACATGCGCAGAAGGGATTTATTTACACAGCAGTCAGACGAGTTAAATCGACATACATTGATGGAAAACTATCAGGTAAGTTTAGTAAGGGCGAATGATCTTTTCTCTTGCGATATATTCAAATTCCTTTATTAGTCACGTTTGCTTGCAATAATATTATTTTGATGGAAAACCAAATGTTGCTTCTTAAGTCGTTACAAGTTACGTTGATATTCCTCCTTAATTCGCTCGATAACGTTCTGGGGAAATGATTTATTGGCTAAATGTGCCAACTCCTGTCTTGCTGCAGGAAAACAAATTGGTTTAGTTTCATGCTTTGTGGCAGGTTTTGAGTAGTCATTGGGCTAGGGAATTTAGCTCGACCTGGCAACCCTGGTTCTAAAGTTTGCGATGCACGTCATTTCGCAAAGCCTACCACTATCCATTAACGTCTCGATCACACCGACATTGTCATTGCATTTTGGTACCCCAGAATGACATTCATTTCAAATGGAACGCTGCGTTTGCCTTGCAGCATTGTGGGTGAAGTGAGTTCTGTGTGGTGCATATGTTGGATTTCTCGAACATATGCGTCAAACTGTATGCTTAGACTGCTTGACAGAAACGGTAGCAGAAGGTGAATGTTGAACTTTTATTGCACACATATCCAGATGATTCTGCGTACCATTTTGGGGAATGACACTATCGGTGTGGTCGAGGCGTAACCACAACATAATTACTGTGGGAATGAATATCACTAAATGACAAACATTGAATTAAAGTAGGCTTCTTATTTATTTGATTTTTTTAGTCATTTAGCAGACGCTCTTATCCAGAGCGACTTACAGGAGCAATCAGGGTTAAGTGCCTTGCTCAAGGGCACATCGACAGATTTTTCACCTAGTCGGCTCGGGGATTAGAACCAGCGACCTTTCGATTACTGGCACAACGCTCTTAACCACTAAGTCACCTGCAATAGCCACATGTGGTAAACTATAATTTCAGCAACCTTTTGATTGGGACGGCGCCATCGTGCTGCTTTGAGACAAGCGTGAGGTCTTGGTAAATCAATCAATGTCAGATTTAGTTTTAACTGAATCTCAGTTTTGGATATTTGCTAACAATAGGCTGGGAAATGTTAGCTAAATGGAGGTGTGAGTGGTCATAAATGATTTTTGTTTCACAAGAATCTCCGTCTGTAGGCTGTATTTTATAATTTGATCTCAGTGGTGGTAGCTAATCGATCACTGTGATCAGACACGGTTAGCATGCTATGAGGTAGCATAAGTCACGTGTGTTATTTTTTGCTATTGGCTCGCGCACAGGCAACTCCAAAAGCCAGCGGAAGTTGTGAAATGGGAACACGTGACTCGCATCCCTTTGGAAAATATAGACTGCTGTTTTCTGTGGGTGTCATGCTGAAGTTGGTCCCAAATAAAACTACTAGGCGTTGAATCTACGCACAGTTATAGCTCATAGGAGTTACACCCAGGTGGTGGGACAAGTAATAATTTATACCTCCGACCTAGAGCACTTTTTAGAGTTATGACCAACTGGTGCAACATATGCCTGGGCAGCAGTTGCAGGTTTCGCAGATCATTGACATTTTCCTAACCACGTTTGGGAAGCTCAGCTCTGTATCAGTGTAGTGACTGACCAGGTTTTCCCATCGCTGTTTGTTGCAGGAAGTCCCCCCTCTATGACAACTGTTTCCTCCATGCCCCGGATGGACAGCCCCTCTGTACCTGTGACAAGAAGAAGGCCAAGTGGTACCTGGATAAAGGAATCGGAGGTACACCACAACATACAGCACTGCCAAAACGGATCAAGTATCTTGATATGAAATAACAGTTTAATTGGAGTACTTTACTATCATAGTTGGTTTCATACTGTTAAATGAGGTTTAAAAATGGACTTTTTACAAAACCCCAGTTCACTTTATTTTGAAGTTGACACTAAATTCCCCCTCTCCTCTCTGCCTCCAGTGCTGCAGAGTGAGGATCCCTTCATCGTGCGTCTGCTGTTTGAGCCGTCGGGACGTCCAGACTCCCAGCAGGACTACTATCTGACTGCCAAAGAGAACCTGTGTGTGGTGTGTGGCAAGAACGACTCCTATATTAGGTGAGGAGAACCTGGGTGTGGCCAGAACGACTCCTATATTAGGTGAGGAGAACCTGGGTGTGGCCAGAACGACTCCTATATCAGGTGAGGAGAACCTGGGTGTGGCCAGAACGACTCCTATATTAGGTGAGGAGAACCTGGGTGTGGCCAGAACGACTCCTATATTAGGTGAGGAGAACCTGTGGGTGTGGCCAGAACGACTCCTATATCAGGTGAGGAGAACCTGGGTGTGGCCAGAACGACTCCTATATCAGGTGAGGAGAACCTGGGTGTGGCCAGAACGACTCCTATATTAGGTGAGGAGAACCTGGGTGTGGCCAGAACGACTCCTATATTAGGTGAGGAGAACCTGGGTGTGGCCAGAACGACTCCTATATCAGGTGAGGAGAACCTGGGTGTGGCAAGAACGACTCCTATATCAGGTGAGGAGAACCTGGGTGTGGCAAGAACGACTCCTATATCAGGTGAGGAGAACCTGGGTGTGGCAAGAACGACTCCTATATCAGGTGAGGAGAACCTGGGTGTGTGGTGTGGCAAAGATAACTCCTACATCAGGTTGGTCCCACTCCACCATAAAGAGCTGGGCTTAGTACTATTTATTAATGTGAAAAGACCTATAATTTGCAGCGTAACGAACCTTTATTCAGGTGGAGGCCATGACCGTTCAATGAGACCGCCTAATGGGGGAGGAAGTGGGAGTGCTACATTGACGTCTGGAACGCTAGCAGCTCGATGTATATAACGACGTTCACGCCCCCTGCTTTGACCTGGTCACTGTCCCCTGCTTTGTCCTGGTCACTGTCCCCTGCTTTGACCTGGTCACTGTCCCCTGCTTTGACCTGGTCACTGTCCCCTGCACCGACCTGGTCACTGTCCCCTGCACCGACCTGGTCACTGTCCCCTGCACTGACCTGGTCACTGCCCCCTGCACCGCCCCGGTCACTGCCCCCTGCACCGCCCCGGTCACTGCCCCCTGCACCGCCCCGGTCACTGCCCCCTGCACCGCCCCGGTCACTGCCCCCTGCTTTGACCTAATGAACGCCCCCTGCAACGACCTGGTCACTGCCCCCTGCTTTGACCTAATAAACGCCCCCTCCTCATCCCCCTCTTCTTGCTCCTACAGGAAGAACATCGTTCCTCACGAGTACAGACGTCACTTCCCCACGGAGATGAAGGACCACAACTCCCATGACATCTTGCTGCTGTGCACTTCCTGTCACGGGGCCTCCAACGTCCACGACGGCTTCCTGAAGCAGCAGCTGGCTGATGAACATGCTGCCGCCCCCAGTAGGACTGGGAGGGGTGTGTTGGGGCTGGGAGGGGTTGGTTAGGGCTGGGAGGGGTGTGTTAGGGCTGGGAGGGGTGTGTTAGGGCTGTGTTAGGGGCTGGGAGGGGTGTGTTCGGGGCTGGGAGGGGTGTTAGGGCTGGGAGGGGGGTGTTAGGCTGGGAGGGGGGTTGAGGGCTGGGAGGGGGGTGGGTTAGGGCTGGGAGGGTGGGGTTGTGTTATTGCTGGGAGGGGTGGGGGTGTGTTAGGGCGGGAGGGTTGGGGTGGTGAGGGGAGGGTGGGGGTGGGGGTGGTTGGGCTGGGGGGTGGGGGGGGGTGTTAGGGCGGGAGGGGTGGGGGGGTGTGGAGGGTTGGGAGGGGTGGGGTGTGTTAGGGTGGGGGGGGGGGGGGGTGGGGGGGGTGTGTGTGGGAGGGTGGAGGGGGGGTGGGTTAGGGCTGGGAGGGGTGGGGGGGTGTTGGTGGTTGGAGGGGGGGTTAGGGCGGGTAGGGGGGGGGGTGTGTAGGGCTGGGTGGGGTGGGGGTGTGTTAGGGCTGGGAGGGGTGGGGGTGGTGTTAGGGCTGGGAGGGGTGGGGGTGTGTTAGGGTGGGAGGGTGGGGGGGTGTGTTGAGGGCTGAGGGTGGGGGGGGTTTAGGGCTGGGAGGGGGTTTTAGGGCTGGGAGGGGGGTATTAGGGCTGGGAGGGGGGTATTAGGGCTGGGAGGGGTGGGGGGTGTTAGGGCTGGGAGGGGGGTGTTAGGGCTGGGAGGGGGGTATTAGGGCTGGGAGGGGGGGGGGGTGTGTTGGGGCTGGGAGGGGTGTGTTGGGGCTGGGAATTGCCAAGGACCTCACGATAGGATATAATCACGATACTTAGGTGCCAATTCAATATGGGGGGGGGTTCTATGTGGGGGGGGTGTTCTACAGTGGGGGAAAAAAGTATTTAGTCAGCCACCAATTGTGCAAGTTCTCCCACTTAAAAAGATGAGAGAGGCCTGTAATTTTCATCATAGGTACACGTCAACTATGACAGACAAAATTAGAATTTTTTTTCCAGAAAATCACATTGTAGGATTTTTAATGAATTTATTTGCAAATGATGGTGGAAAATAAGTATTTGGTCAATAATAAAAGTTTCTCAATACTTTGTTATATACCCTTTGCTGGCAAGGACACAGGTCAAACGTTTTCTGTAAGTCTTCACAAGGTTTTCACACACTGTTGCTGGTATTTTGGCCCATTCCTCCATGCAGATCTCCTCTAGAGCAGTGATGTTTTGGGGCTGTCGCTGGGCAACACGGACTTTCAACTCCCTCCAAAGATTTTCTATGGGGTTGAGATCTGGAGACTGGCTAGGCCACTCCAGGACCTTGAAATGCTTCTTACGAAGCCACTCCTTCGTTGCCCGGGCGGTGTGTTTGGGATCATTGTCATGCTGAAAGACCCAGCCAAGTTTCATCTTCAATGCCCTTGCTGATGGAAGGAGGTTTTCACTCAAAATCTCACGATACATGGCCCCATTCATTCTTTCCTTAACACAGATCAGTCGTCCTGGTCCCTTTGCAGAAAAACAGCCCCAAAGCATGATGTTTCCACCCCCATGCTTCACAGTAGGTATGGTGTTCTTTGGATGCAACTCAGCATTCTTTGTCCTCCAAACACGACGAGTTGAGTTTTTACCAAAAAGTTCTATTTTGGTTTCATCTGACCATATGACATTCTCCCAATCCTCTTCTGGATCATCCAAATGCACTCTAGCAAACTTCAGACGGACCTGGACATGTACTGGCTTAAGCAGGGGGACACGTCTGGCACTGCAGGATTTGAGTCCCTGGCGACGTAGTGTGTTATTGATGGTAGGCTTTGTTACTTTGGTCCCAGCTCTCTGCAGGTCATTCACTAGGTCCCCCCGTGTGGTTCTGGGATTTTTGCTCACTGTTCTTGTGATCATTTTGACCCCACGGGGTGAGATCTTCCGTTGAGCCCCAGATCGAGGGAGATTATCAGTGGTCTTGTATGTCTTCCATTTCCTAATAATTGCTCCCACAGTTGATTTCTTCAAACCAAGCTGCTTACCTATTGCAGATTCAGTCTTCCCAGCCTGGTGCAGGTCTACAATTTTGTTTCTGGTGTCCTTTGACAGCTCTTTGGTCTTGGCCATAGTGGAGTTTGGAGTGTGACTGTTTGAGGTTGTGGACAGGTGTCTTTTATACTGATAACAAGTTCAAACAGGTGCCATTAATACAGGTAACAAGTGGAGGACAGAGGAGCCTCTTAAAGAAGAAGTTACAGGTCTGTGAGAGCCAGAAATCTTGCTTGTTTGTAGGTGACCAAATACTTATTTTCCACCATAATTTGCAAATACATTCATTAAAAATCCTACAATGTGATTTTCTGGATTATTTTTTCTCAATTTCTGTCATAGTTGACGTGTACCTATGATGAAAATTACAGGCCTCTCTCATCTTTTTAAGTGTGAGAACTTGCACAATTGGTGGCTGACTAAATACTTTTTTTCCCCACTGTATATGGAGGGAAATTTGATGTTTTAAACCTATTGCTCACCATATGTCTGATGCAGAGGGACGAGGGAGTCATGACCATATGTCTGATGCAGAGGGACGAGGGAGTCATGACCATATGTCTGATGCAGAGGGACGAGGGAGTCATGACCATATGTCTGATGCAGAGGGACGAGGGAGTCATGACCATATGTCTGATGCAGAGGGACGAGGGAGTCATGACCATATGTCTGATGCAGAGGGACGAGGGAGTCATGACCATATGTCTGATGCAGAGGGACGAGGGAGTCATGAGTGACTTTTGATCAGTCATGGAAATAAAAGTGCTGAAAACATGTTGACGCACCATTTTAAAAAGATGGATATTTTTTTTATACTCTGACTTCGAGTATAGATATAATGTCGTCAAAAAATTAATATTGCGATACTCAACTGAAATGGATAATTTTGTAACCCCAGGGGTGTGAGGAAGGGGTGCGTCTCCTGGAGGACTCTGACCGGAGGAGAGTTCGTTCTGCAGCCCGTGCCCTCCTCACTGCTGGCGAGGGGCTCCCTGGGTCCCGGAGAGACGAGCTGAAGGAAGTCATCAGGAGCTTCTTCAACGACCCCGACGTGGAGCTGACGACCGACACACTGCAGAGTGCTGCAGGCCTGGAGACACGGTGAGACCAGGGGAGAGGGGTGGTGGAGGGGTAGGAGGTGGCGCTGAACCCAGACACTGCACGGGCCTGGAGGCACGGTGAGACCAGGGGAGAGGGGTGGCGCTGAACCCAGACACTGCACAGGCCTGGAGGCACGGTGAGACCAGGGGAGAGGGGTGGGCGCTGAACCCAGACACTGCACAGGCCTGGAGGCACGGTGAGACCAGGGGAGAGGGGTGGTGGAGGGGAAGGAGGTGGCGCTGAACCCAGACACTGCACGGGCCTGGAGGCACGGTGAGACCAGGGGAGAGGGGTGGCGCTGAACCCAGACACTGCACAGGCCTGGAGGCACGGTGAGACCAGGGGAGAGGGGTGGTGGAGGGGTAGGAGGTGGCGCTGAACCCAGACACTGCACAGGCCTGGAGGCACGGTGAGACCAGGGGAGAGGGGTGGTGGAGGTGGCGCTGAACCCAGACACTGCACAGGCCTGGAGGCACGGTGAGACCAGGGGAGAGGGGTGGTGGAGGGGAAGGAGGTGGCGCTGAACCCAGACACTGCACGGGCCTGGAGGCACGGTGAGACCAGGGGAGAGGGGTGGTGGAGGGGTAGGAGGTGGCGCTGAACCCAGGAGACACGGTGAGGGTATTGGGGTGACGGAGGGGTATAGACCGGGGGTGTATTCCTTACACCGATTCTGTTGCAAAACGTGAAGCGAACGAAACTGGGAGGGACCTACCTGAATTTGTCCAATAGAAACTATCGTTTTGCTGTTTGCTTCTTGAACGGTTTCAGTAATGAGTACGCCCTCGCTTAGGGTAGGGGTGGGTGGAGGTGGTGGTAGTCAGGAGGTGGATATCACCACAGGTAGGGGTGGGTGGAGGTGGTGGTAGTCAGGAGGTGGATATCACCACAGGTAGGGGTGGGTGGAGGTGGTGGTAGTCAGGAGGTGGATATCACCACAGGTAGGGTAGGGGTGGGTGGAGGAGGTGGTAGTCAGGAGGTGGATATCACCACAGGTAGGGTAGGGGTGGGTGGAGGTGGTAGACAGGAGGTGGATATCACCACAGGTAGGGTAGTGGTGGGTGGAGGTGGTAGTAGTCAGGAGGTGGATATCACCACAGGTAGGGTAGAGTGGAGGTGGTGGTAGTCAGGAGGTGGATATCACCACAGGTAGGGTAGAGTGGAGGTGGTGGTAGTCAGGAGGTGGATATCACCACAGGTAGGGTAGGGGTGGGTGGAGGTGGTAGTCAGGAGGTGGATATCACCACAGGTAGGGTAGTGGTGGGTGGAGGTGGTAGTCAGGAGGTGGATATCACCACAGGTAGGGTAGGGGTGGGTGGAGGTGGTGGTAGTCAGGAGGTGGATATCACCACAGGTAGGGGTGGGTGGAGGTGGTAGTCAGGAGGTGGATATCACCACAGGTAGGTAGGGGTGGGTGGAGGTGGTAGTAGTCAGGAGGTGGATATCACCACAGGTAGGGGTGGGGGTGGTGGTGGTGGTAGACAGGAGGTGGATATCACCACAGGTAGGGTGGAGGTGGTAGTAGTCAGGAGGTGGATATCACCACAGGTAGGGGTGGGGTGGAGGTGGTAGTCAGGAGGTGGATATCACCACAGGTAGGGGTGGGTGGAGGTGGTAGTAGTCAGGAGGTGGATATCACCACAGGTAGGGGTGGGTGGAGGTGGTGGTAGTCAGGAGGTGGATATCACCACAGGTAGGGTAGGGGTGGGTGGTGGTGGTGGTAGTCAGGAGGTGGATATCACCACAGGTAGGGTAGAGTGGAGGTGGTGGTAGTCAGGAGGTGGATATCACCACAGGTAGGGTAGGGGTGGGTGGTGGTGGTGGTAGTCAGGAGGTGGGTATCACCACAGGTAGGGTAGGGGTGGGTGGAGGTGGTGGTAGTCAGGAGGTGGATATCACCACAGGTAGGGGTGGGTGGAGGTGGTAGTCAGGAGGTGGATATCACCACAGGTAGGTAGGGGTGGGTGGAGGTGGTAGTAGTCAGGAGGTGGATATCACCACAGGTAGGGGTGGGTGGTGGTGGTGGTAGACAGGAGGTGGATATCACCACAGGTAGGGTGGAGGTGGTAGTAGTCAGGAGGTGGATATCACCACAGGTAGGGGTGGGTGGAGGTGGTAGTCAGGAGGTGGATATCACCACAGGTAGGGGTGGGGGGAGGTGGTAGTAGTCAGGAGGTGGATATCACCACAGGTAGGGGTGGGTGGAGGTGGTAGTCAGGAGGTGGATATCACCACAGGTAGGGTAGGGGTGGGTGGTGGTGGTAGTCAGGAGGTGGATATCACCACAGGTAGGGTAGGGGTGGGTGGAGGAGGTGGTAGTCAGGAGGTGGATATCACCACAGGTAGGGTAGTGGTGGGTGGAGGTGGTAGTCAGGAGGTGGATATCACCACAGGTAGGGTAGGGGTGGGTGGAGGTGGTAGTCAGGAGGTGGATATCACCACAGGTAGGGTAGGGGTGGGTGGAGGTGGTAGTCAGGAGGTGGATATCACCACAGGTAGGGTAGGGGTGGGTGGAGGTGGTAGTCAGGAGGTGGATATCACCACAGGTAGGGTAGGGGTGGGTGGAGGTGGTAGTCAGGAGGTGGATATCACCACAGGTAGGGTAGGGGTGGGTGGAGGTGGTAGTCAGGAGGTGGGATATCACCACAGGTAGGGTAGGGGTGGGTGGAGGTGGTGGTAGACAGGAGGTGGATATCACCACAGGTAGGGGTGGGTGGGAGGTGGTAGTCAGGAGGTGGATATCACCACAGGTAGGGTAGGGGTGGGTGGAGGTGGTAGTCAGGAGGTGGATATCACCACAGGTAGGGTAGGGGTGGGTGGAGGTGGTGGTAGACAGGAGGTGGATATCACCACAGGTAGGGTAGGGGTGGGTGGAGGTGGTAGTAGTCAGGAGGTGGATAGCACCACAGGTAGGGTAGGGGTGGGTGGAGGTGGTAGTCAGGAGGTGGATATCACCACAGGTAGGGGTGGGTGGTGGTGGTAGTCAGGAGGTGGATATCACCACAGGTAGGGTAGGGGTGGGTGGAGGTGGTAGTCAGGAGGTGGATATCACCACAGGTAGGGTAGGGGTGGGTGGAGGTGGTAGTCAGGAGGTGGATATCACCACAGGTAGGGTAGGGGTGGGTGGAGGTGGTAGTCAGGAGGTGGATATCACCACAGGTAGGGGTGGGTGGAGGTGGTAGTCAGGAGGTGGATATCACCACAGGTAGGGTAGGGGTGGGTGGAGGTGGTGGTAGTCAGGAGGTGGATATCACCACAGACACTGCAGAGGGCTACAGGCCTTGAGACACGATGAGAGAGGTTGTGGAGGAGCAAGCAATGCCAAGGTTGTGGGTTCAATTCCCGCAGGGATCATATGCATATACTCTAAATGTATGCACTCTCTGTACTGTAAGTCACTTTGGATTAGAATCTGTGGCATATATTATAAACTATGAATTTTATGATTTTGTTTATTTTCTTAAATCTGTGGCCGCTGGAACCTCTTTCTTCACCCCTCTCCCCCTCCCAGGATCTTCAACGAGAGCTACGTTCCCCATGGGCTGAAGGTTGTGCAGGCGCATGCCGAGCAGGGGCTGAAGGGGTTGATGGGCCTGGAGCGCCGCTGGAGGCAGCACTTCCTGTCCACCATGACACCGCGCTACCTGCCTCCTCTCTGGTCCGTCAGCCACAACCACAGCAAGTTCCTACGCAAATACGGCGAGGACCTGCTCATCCAGCTCAACTGAACTACAGTCTTCCTTAGCCTGAAAGGCCGGTCTGTTTTGGCGTGACGTGACAGGAAATGGATTGGTACCCAGGCTCTCCCTCTCTCTCCGTTTATCTATCAGCTTCTCTGGATCACCATTTAGTTTTTTTAAAACAGCAGCAGCGTTATCCACACTGGATCCCAGAGAGCTGACAGACTGACTACAGTGTCTGGCGCTCCTTTTGTGAAGAGGCAGTCTGTCACCCTGACCCTGTGGTGCCTCGTTCCTCCATGGTACCAGACAGACAGACTCGGAGTGACTCATGGGCTTTGCTTGAACTCAAATAGCCCCCTACAGGCCCTCAATGAACCAGACCCAGAGACATTTGCTGTGTGTGGGAATGGCGCCCTATTCCTTATATAGTGCACTACTTTTGCCCAGGTCCCCTAGGGGTGCGTTATCTAGAGCCATTTCAGATGGGGCCTAACTGGAGCCTGGGGAGATGGACCTTTTTGTTCTGACAGAACTGGAGCCTGGGGAGATGGACCTTTTTTTTGTTCTGACAGAGGTAACGGAATCCAGGATCAAGAACTCCTGATCCAGTGCTGCAGGATCCATGATCAAATGATATTGCAAATGGACACTTTTTAACCAACACTGTGGTTTGGTTTCCCAGGCAGATTGACTGGTCCTGGTCTAAAGAGCCGTTTCAATGGGAATTCTCCAGAACTAGACTTAATCTGGGGCCAGGAAACCAGCCCTATGTATATCAATATAAAAATGTGAAATGTGGTTTTCACCAAGTTCAGAAAATCATGTATTTTAGGCCACGCTGAAACCTGCTCTTAACTCTCATTAAATATAAATTATAATTTCCCCTGCAGGTTTTCAGCCCTAATGATGATAATAATTCCTATGCGTTTGTGTGCGTGCAGAAATCAATGGTTTGCTTTGCAAAGGTAACTTCAATTTTTCGATAACACAATGACTGAGGTCCCCATTGTTTATCGTCTTCGATAGATCAGACATTGTGATCGGACGACCAGACATTGGGATGCGTCACAAATGGCCCCCTTTTCCCTGTACGGTGCACTCCTTTTGAACAGGGCCTATGGGGGTTAGTGAGTAAGGGCGCCGTTCTCAGGTTCAGTAGGACGACGTCGAGCGTAGGATGGTGGTCTTTGGTGATGTGACATCACTTCCTCCTGTACTGTATTTGATGCATCCCAAATGGCACCCTGTTCACTGCGTTGGTCACGGATGTGTTCTCTCTCTCTAATCAGGACACCTCACGTCACATGTTTTAGTGTGACTCTTCCCCTCACTAGAAGAGAAACTAACTTAACCCCCAAAACATCAGGGCGCGTCCTCCTCATTCCTCTACAACAGTTCCATTCCAACCTCCTTTCCCCCTCAGAGTCATTTCAGATTGAGAGAAGTACCAGCTTCTATGTACAGGTAGCCTGAGAGTGACTAGCTTCATTGGTTGGTAAAGAATGATGGCCTTCGTGTGCAGAGCGGTTAACCTGTTTGCAAAGCAGACATTTTCATGTTCTTGAGCATGACAACAATTGCATTTTTGTTTAAATTGAAGAAACCAGCAGCTTTTTCTTTTTTATTTACATTTGTCCAGATGTAACCCCCATAGAAGCTGTTCAGTTTTGTCCAGATGTAACCCCCATAGAAGCTGTTCAGTTTTGTCCAGATGTAACCCCCATAGAAGCTGTTCAGTTTCCCTAATATTGTAAAATAAAAGCTCAGATTTGTGTACCTGTGAGACTTGTTTTGATTGTTCAGAGTGGATGGATTGTTCAGAGTGGATGGGGATTGTTCAGAGTGGATGGGGATTGTTCAGAGTGGATGGGGATTGTTCAGAGTGGATGGGGATTGTTCAGAGTGGATGGGGATTGTTCAGAGTGGATGGGGATTGTTCAGAGTGGATGGGGATTGTTCAGAGTGGATGGGGATTGTTCAGAGTGGATGGGGATTGTTCAGAGTGGATGGGGATTGTTCAGAGTGGATGGGGATTGTTCAGAGTGGATGGGGATTGTTCAGAGTGGATGGGGATTGCTCAGAGTGGATGGGGATTGTTCAGTCAGTTCATCTCTGCCTAATCTTCATCTCCTCTCGCTCTGTCTACATGTTTTATTTATATCAAGACGCAGATCGGTTGAATGAGACGGAAAACCGCCGTTGGTTGAATGTGAAGGAAAATTGACCCTTTTCGCCACGAGAAACACAATGAACACTTTGTTTTAATACAAAATCAGTTTAATAGTCTGTAAAAAAATGTTGTACAAAAGCGTTGTCCTTTTACATTTTCGTAAAATGAAGGAATCGCTTCTCATGTCGTTCAGCGCCAAGGAGTCTTTAGTGGGATGTTGTCAGTATTACGTTTCTCCAGTCCAGTGTAGTGGTGTTAAGGCCTCTTGATTTTGCCGTTAGAACAATCTGTTAGTCAAATGGTTTTGTCTTTTTGTTGAATCGGTGTATTACATGGGCCGTCTTTAAATTACGCCCGGTTTCCTGTACAGTGCTCAACCTTTGACCAGGGTCTTATGGGCCGTCCAATCACACACTCTAGTTTCGCAGTTCAGTCAAAACAACAAACCAAAATAGCTCAACAAGTAGAAGGTCCCTCATTCGCCCAAATGTTCTCAAATTCAAACAGGACGTTTTTGTTTGGTTCAGTGCTCCTCAACGAACGTGATAGGGGAATGTCTCGAAGGACACGAACATGACCTTGAGGCAGGTTCAGAAGGGATGCAATGTTTTTGTTACGTTCAGCAGTAAAATATGTATACTGAACAAAAATATTAAATGCAACCATTTCAACGGTTTGACTGAGTTAAAGTTCATATATGGAAATCAAGTCAATTGAAATAAATTCAGTAGGCCCTAATCTATGGAATTCACATGACTGGGCAGGGGGCGTAGCCATGGGTGGGCCTGGGAGGGCATAGACACACCCACTGGGGAGCCAGGCCCACCCACTGGGGAGCCAGGCTCAGCCAATCAGAATGAGGTTTTTTCTCCCACGAAAGGGCTTTATTTCAGACAGAAATACTCCTCAGATTTAAGAGAAATAAGCTTTTTTTTGTGCATTTATGGAACATTTCCGGGATCATTTATTTCAGCTCATGAAACATGGGACCAACACTTTACATGTTGCGTTTTTATATTTTTGTTCAGTATAGAACAAACGTGCCTCTGACATGTTGAATAAGGAATCACGTCAGCTCTATTGATGGCATTTCTATCGACCAACGCTTGGTTACCGAACAAGCCTCGGATCAATCAATCCCCCTCTGTTGGTATCATTATTGCCTTCCCTAGCAGCACTGTGCTATGAACTCTTATTACTGCATAACAAAATTCACATTTTGTTCAATACATTGGAACTGCGTGTGTGATTTAAAAACCCTGAACTACCAAAAGGTGACTCTCCCAATTTACTCAAATGGTTTCCGGAGTGGTGTTCACACACAGAAACGCATTGCTCTACTTTCAACATATCCAGTGCTCTCAGTTTAACGGTCATTTTCAGAGTATCGGTAGACTAAAGGTAATACAAAAGACAAAACGTCTCAATAAAAAAGAAAAGTATTGAAAATGTGTAACACTTCACATTCATTTGCCTTTTTTTTTTTTTTTTACACGAATGATAGATTGTCAAGTTTACAAAAGCCAAACAGTGACTGCTTTTAACGTTTTTTTTTTCCTTCACATTTGTGTCTTCCCTTTTTAAGAGGTAATTCTTCAGCCTTGAACATGAAGGATGAACAGAACAACGTAAACAGCCTAATTCAGGATCATATATGAAGCTGATGATTCTCCGAGGGTTTTTTTTTGTTCCAAGGCTGGTAGAAGATGCAGGTGAGCGCTCCAGTCAGGTTCTGGTGCCGGGTGGGTAGTGTAGTGTGTAAGGAGGCCAGGTATATGTTGCGTCCCCAAATGGCTCCCTATTTAGTGCACTAGTTTTTGACCAGGGAATAAGGGGTGTCATTTGGGACGCACATGGAGACCTGCAAAACCTCTCACTACGCTACAGAACCCCCCCCCCCCACAGACACACAGAGACCCTCTCTTATTGCTTGCTTGTTAAGAAGTTTGGGATCTGTTCTTGTCTCTTAACCCCCCCCAAAAAAAGAAAAGACATTCAAATCACAGTTAGAATCCAGCGTGAATGAAAAACGGACTGAATCTTTCACTCCGTCAGTTATTTTCTCTTTTCGCTGTGACTCCTGTGGACGTATGTATGTATGGGATACATTCAGAGATGCAATGTTGCCATTTGCTGGTGTATTCAGGGGTGTATTCAGGGATGCACACCGCAGCAAAACGTTTTGCAACAGAAAACATTTTGCAAACGGAAACAAGAGATTCTATTGGAGAAAGGTCAGGTAGGTCCCTGTTTCGCCCCCGATTTCTTCCGCTTGTTCGTAGTGAATACACCCCAGATGAACATAGTTTATTTGGGGTTCAACAGTCCGACGGAGTCTGTCAGGTTGGGGGAACCGTTATGTTGCATCATCAGGTCATTCACAATGTTCCTAAAAATACTGACTCACTCAAACTCACCCTCTACCCTCTACCCCCTACCCCTTACACCTTACCCCCTACCCCCTACCCCCAGGCACAGAGATTCACATGAAGACCCCTTCTGCTCTTAATCAACCCAATAATCACATTTTACACAGTTGGCACAGATTATTGAAATAAATACACCGTAGGGTTTTCTTAGTACTATAAAGCAAAATAATAATAATTCACATTTGAACAAAACCTTTAAAAAAAAAGTATCAAATGAATAATCTCAGTCTGCTGCGCTCCTGTCTCTGTTTCTCACTGTTCCTTATAAATAAGATGACGGTTCGGTTACACCTGGCGTCGTGCTCTTCTGAATCCTCAAACTACCACTGACACGGTATATCTCCTACTGAATTAGATGTCATCTCACATGTACATCAAACGAAGTATCTAGAAGGCCGTCTAGAAGATAATGCTTGGTCTAAATTTCTCTGCATTTCCTTTTAGTGCCTCGTCATTCCTAGCTTGGTTAAGCCAGACTTGAATGCTTTGAAACAGGCTTGAGTTCTTCCCCCTCCGTCCCTCCAGGTGTCCCTCCAGGTGTCCCTCCTCTCAGGAGTCTCTAGAGGTTTCCCTGTAGGATGCTAGTGATGGCCTGGTCCAGCAGGGAGGCGGGGCCTGCGGCCGGGCACGCCCCCTGGAGCCATGGCTGGGACGCCGCCGTGGGCCCCTGCAGGCGCTGCAGCTCCAGGATGCTGTCGATGGCACTCTGCAGGTGTTCACTGAGGGTGTTGTCCTCTGGCAGGGGGGGTGGGGGGCGGGGACTAGCCTGGGCCCTGTCGCTGGTCTGGGGAAGGGGCTCGGCCCTGTTGCTGGTCTGGGGAAGGGGCTGGGGTCTGTAGCTGGTCTGGGGAAGGGTCTGGGGCCTGTCGCTGGTCTGGGGAAGGGGCTCGGCCCTGTTGCTGGTCTGGGGAAGGGGCTCGGCCCTGTTGCTGGTCTGGGGAAGGGGCTCGGCCCTGTTGCTGGTCTGGGGAAGGGGCTCGGCCCTGTCGCTGGTCTGGGGAAGAGGCTGAAGCCTGTCGCTGGTCTGGGGAAGAGGCTGAAGCCTGTCGCTGGTCTGGGGACGGGGCTGGGGTCTGTAGCTGGTCTGGGGAAGGGTCTGGGGCCTGTCGCTGGTCTGGGGAAGGGGCTCGGCCCTGTTGCTGGTCTGGGGAAGGGGCTCGGCCCTGTTGCTGGTCTGGGGAAGAGGCTGAAGCCTGTCGCTGGTCTGGGGACGGGGCTGGGGTCTGTAGCTGGTCTGGGGAAGGGTCTGGGGTCTGTAGCTGGTCTGGGGAAGGGGCTCGGCCCTGTTGCTGGTCTGGGGAAGAGGCTGGGGTCTGTCGCTGGTCTGGGGACGGGGCTGGGGTCTGTAGCTGATCTGGGGAAGGGGCTCGGCCCTGTTGCTGGTCTGGGGAAGAGGCTGAAGCCTGTCGCTGGTCTGGGGAAGGGGCTGGGGCCTGTAGCTGGTCTGGGGACGGGGCTGGGGTCTGTAGCTGTGCCTGTCCGCCTGGGAAGGGAGGTCCGGAAGCGTGGGCCTGAAGCGTTTCAGTTTGGGGGCACTCACCTCTCCAGGGTCTTGAGGGGGAAGCTCTAGGCAGGCAGTCTGTGGGTCTAAGCTCGGCATAGTAATGGAGTTTGGGGAACTTACATATTGTGAACCCAGTACTGCTGTCTGAATCTGTGCTACAGATTCCCTGCTGTCACCATGTGGGACGTCCTCTACTGCTTTGGAGGGCAGGGCTCCGTTTGACATCTCCTCACTGATTGGATGGCAGGAGGTCCTATGGGAGGAGCCCTGCAGGTTTTGCTCAGTCAGATCACCACTCCCATTGGTCAGCTGGCCGGTGTAGTACCGCTTGTGACCAGATGGGGCAGTGGATTGCATGGTGTCACAGGCTGAGTTGTGAACCACCATCCTGGATCCAGCCTTGTGTTTGATGGTGAGCTTGAGGCCTCCGCGGCTGGAGGAGTGGTAGGTCCTGAGTCCCGGGGGTCGGTCGGAGAGTCTGGTCCAAGCTGGGGGGGAGGGGGGGCTGCCGGACTGACCCAGCCCCACACGGGATGAGCTGGAGGACTCCGATGCATGCAGGGCCATCAGGAAGGACTCTGTGGAAGATCCAAGCATAAGGTACAAGGGGAGAGAACTTTACATACCGGTGCATTCCATAACACTGACTGACTATGTTCACAGAAGAGCTCATTTAACTTCAAAGAAAGACCGCACCAACATTAAAAGTACGTTTCTGGTTAAACGTCCACTAAACCACCAAAGTGCTTCACTTTTAGCCCAGTAGATAGGTGACCTGTACCTGTGGATACACTACATGATCAAAAGTATGTGGACACCTGCTCGTGGGCATTAATATGGAGTTGGTCCCCCCTTTGCTGCTATAACAGCCTCCATCCACTCTTCTGGGAAGGCTTTCCACTAGATGTTGGAACATTGCTGCAGGGACTTGCTTCCGTTCAGCCACAAAAGCATTAGTGAGGTCGGGCACTGATGTTGGGCGATTAGGACCGGCTCACAGTCGGTGTTCCAATTCATCCCAAAGATGTTCAATGGGGTTGAGGTCGGGGCCCTGTGCAGGCCAGTCAAGTTCTTCCACACCGATCTCGACAAACCATTTCTGTATGGACCTCGCTTTGTGCACGGGGGCATTGTCATGCTGAAACAGGAAAGGGCCTTCCCCAAACTGTTGCCACAAAGTTGGAAGCACAGAATCGTCTAGAATGTCATTGTATGCTGTAGCGTTACGATTTCCCTTCACTGGAACTAAGGGGCCTAGCCCGAACCATGAAAAACAGCCCCAGACCATTATTCCTCCTCCACCAAACTTTACAGTTGGCACTATGCATTGGGGCAGGTAGTGTTCTCCTGGTATCCACCAAACCCAGATTCGATCTTATGATGATCTTAGGCTTGTATGGCCTACCACTTCGTGGCTGAGCTGTTGTTGCTCCTAGACGTTTCCACTTCACAATAACAGCACTTACAGTTGACCGGGGCAGCTCTAGCAGGGCAAAAATTTGACGAACTGACTTGTTGGAAAGGTGACATCCTATGACGGTGCCACGTTGAAAGTCACTGAGCTCTTCAGTAAGGGTCATTCTACTGTCAATGTTTGTCTGTGGAGATTGCATGGCTGTGTGCTCGATTTTATACACCTGTCAGCAACGGGTGTGGCTCAAATAGCCAAATCCACTAATTTGAAGGGGTGTCCACATACTGCTGTATATATAGTGCATCTTCCCCACGGTACTAACCTGGGTCTCTACGGGCCCTGCGCCGGTCCTCCCCCAGGGAGAACCTCTCTGATTGGAGGAACAGACGATCCAGCATCACCATCTCTGCCGACGGAATCACCTGCTGTTCACATTGATACACGGGGACATTGGTACATACAGTGACCTCAGTAATTATTGGGACAGTGAAGCATTTCTCCTTCTTTTGGCTCTATACTTCAAAAGTTTGGATTTGAAATCAAACTATGAGGTTAAAGTGCAGACTGTCAGATTTAATGTGAGGGTATTTAAATCCATATCAGGTAAACCGTTTAGAAATTATAGCACTTTTTGTACATAGTCCCCCCATTTTAGGGGACCAAAAGTATTGGGCCTAATTCACTTATATGTGTAGTAAAAAGTTAAGTATTTGATCCCATATTCACAGCACACAATGATTACATCAAGCTTGTGACTCTACACATTTTTGGGGGATGCATTTTCTATTTGTTTAGGTTGTGTTTCAGATTATTTTGATTATTTTGTGCCCAATAGGAATAATGTATTGTGTCATTTTGGAGTCACTTTAATTGTAAATAAGAATAGAATATGTTTCTAAACACTTCTACATTAATCTGGGATGCTACCATGGTTACGGATAGTCCTGAATGAATTGTGAATAATGATGAGTGAGAAAGTTACAGATGCACAAATATCATACCCACCTCACCTGTTATTGTAATGGTGAGAGGTTAGCATGTCTTGGGGATATGATATTTGTGCGTCTGTAACTTTCTCACTCATCATTATTCACGTTTCATTCAGGACTATCCGTAATCATGGTAGCATCCACATTTAATGTAGAAGTGTTTAGAAACATATTATATTCTTATCTACAATAAAAGTGACTCCAAAATGACACAATACATTATTTACCATTACATTTCTATTGGGCACAAAATAATCTGAAACACGACCAAAACACATGTACTTATTAAGCCTGCATCAGCAGCTTTGCATTGTCTGTGTATCAGTAAAAAATTGACGCTGTGTATCCGAATAGCATCACCAAGCAGTAGCATTTAAAATTGAGAAAGAGTGGTGCTCCTAAGCCTTGAGGAATTCCAAAACTTGGAATGGTCAGAGGAATTTCCATCCATAAAAGCATAAAATATAAAGAGTAAAACAAATGAGAACTTTAGCAAAGCCATTTTTTGTGATATGATTTAATGGAGAATGTAGAAGGAAAAGACGTGGGATCGTGACGTGTGGGAACAGTGGACTGCGTCATACCAGTGTCTCTCCCAGCAGCAGCTGTCTGTATTTGTTGAGCATGTCCTTGGAGCGTTTCAGTAGGAACCTTGACACAGTGACAAACTGCTCGTCCACTGGAGAGAGACGGGACGCATGTCAATAACCCTACGTACAGAGTACAGATACACAAAGATACTGATAATGGCGTGTGGAACTACATTTCCCATCAAGCCCCTGCCTTTACTACGTTCTTAAGAAAAGAAGAAGAAAAAAAGGGTATATCTAGAACATTCTAGGGTTGTTCGGCTGGCCCCATGGGATTATTATTTATTATTATTATTATTATTATTATTATTATAACTTTTTGAGGAACCCTTTTGAGTTCCAGTTAAAACCCTTTCGGGTTCCACGCAGAACCCTTCCCTATGAGTGCACTGACAGTCTCTACAGAGTGAATTAAAACCAGTGTTCTGACCTAAGTTGAAGTCGTCCTGACTAGGCAGGTGTCCGGCACAGGCGTGGTATGGCAACAGGTGTGTCACAGCCTCCCCCAATGAGGAGAAGGGGGAACAGACGTAGGGGATCTGGACCGGCCCCTGGTTCTGACACAGCTTCTGTTGGAGCCTGAGGATGACATCACAGACACTAGTTTTAGGGTTCAACACGTAAAGTCACGATAGGATAGATACCCGCACTCTGGTGAATACTCCTGGTGAATACTCCTGGTGAACACTCCTGGTGAATACTCCTGGTGAATACTCCTGGTGAATACTCCTGGTGAATACTCCTGACGTTTTCAAAAGGGATAGTTGGCCGTTTATCTACCTCCCCAGAGTCAGATGAACTTGTGGATACCATTTGTATGTCTCTGCATCCAGTATGAAGGAAGTTACAGGTAGTTTCACGAGCAAATGCTAACTAGCGTTAGCGCAACGACTGGAAGTCTACAGGAACAGCTAGCATGCTAGGAGTTCATCTGACTCTGGGGAAAGTAGATATCCCGAACGATCTCTTTTTTTAAGGTCGAACTGTTGCACAATAAAACGGCAGGGGCGTCCAACAGTGTGCAGGTCTCTGTCCGTCTTTCACAACTCAGACACCTTTTGGAACTGCACCTCATCATCATACAATACAGACGTCATCAACACCCGACGTGTCCTGCTTCTCACCTGTGCCTGCACGTCGCCTCAGTCAGTCTCTGTTCTACCTCCCTCGCCACAGGACCGGCCACCTGGTATGGATGACATATGACCTTAGGTTTACTGGAGATTGAAGAATCTGAGTAGAATGAAGAGTATAGTTGTTTCAGAATCTGAGTAGAATGAAGAGTATAGTTGTTTCAGAATCTGAGTAGAATGAAGAGTATAGTTGTTTCAGAATCTGAGTAGAATGAAGAGTATACAGTGAGGGAAAAAAGTATTTGATCCCCTGCTGATTTTGTACGTTTGCCCACTGACAAAGACATGATCAGTCTATAATTTTAATGGTAGGTTTATTTGAACAGTGAGAGACAGAATAACAACAAAGAAATCCAGAAAAACGCATGTCAAAAATGTTATACATTGATTTGCATTTTAATGAGGGAAATAATTATTTGACCCCTCTGCAAAACATGACTTAGTACTTGGTGGCAAAACCCTTGTTGGCAATCACAGAGGTCAGACGTTTCTTGTAGTTGGCCACCAGGTTTACACAAATCTCAGGAGGGATTTTGTCCCACTCCTCTTTGCAGATCTTCTCCAAGTCATTAAGGTTTCGAGGCTGACGTTTGGCAACTCAAACCTTCAGCTCCCTCCACAGATATTCTATGCGATTAAGGTCTGGAGACTGGCTAGGCCACTCCAGGACCTTAATGTGCTTCTTCTTGAGCCACTCCTTTGTTGCCTTGGCCATGTGCTTTGGGTCATTGTCATGCTGGAACACCCATCCACGACCCATTTCAATGCCCTGGCTGAGGGAAGGAGGTTCTCACCCAAGATTTGACGGTACATGGCCCCGTCCATCGTCCCTTTGATGCGGTGAAGTTGTCCTGTCCCCTTAGCAGAAAAACACCCCCAAAGCATAATGTTTCCACCTCCATGTTTGACGGTGGGGATGGTGTTCTAGGGGTCATAGGCAGCATTCCTCCTCCTCCAAACATGGCGAGTTGAGTTGATGCCAAAGAGCTCGATTTTGGTCTCATCTGACCACAACACTTTCAACCAGTTCTCCACTGAATCATTCAGATGTTCATTGGCAAACTTCAGACGGGCCTGTATATGTGCTTTCTTGACCTTGCAGGCGCTGCAGGATTTCAGTCCTTCACGGCGTAGTGCGTTACCAATTGTTTTCTTGGTGACTATGGTCCCAGCTGCCTTGAGATCATTGACAAGATCCTCCCTTGTAGTTCTGGGCTGATTCCTCACCGTTCTCATGATCATTGCAACTCCACGAGGTGAGATCTTGCATGGAGCCCCAGGCCGAGGGAGATTGACAGTTCTTTTGTGTTTCTTCCATTTGCGAATAATCGCACCAACTGTTGTCACCTTCTCACCAAGCTGCTTGGCGATGGTCTTGTAGCCCATTCCAGCCTTGTGTAGGTCTACAATATTGTCCCTGACATCCTTGGAGAGCTCTTTGGTCTTGGCGATGGTGGAGAGTTTGGAATCTGATTGATTGATTGCTTCTGTGGACAGGTGTCTTTTATACAGGTAACAAGCTGAGATTAGGAGCACTCCCTTTAAGTGTGTGCTCCTAATCTCAGCTCGTTACCTGTATAAAAGACACCTGGGAGCCAGAAATCTTTCTGATTGAGAGGGGGTCAAATACTTATTTCCCTCATGAAAATGCAAATCAATTTATAAGATTTTTGACATGCGTTTTTCTGGATTTTTTGTTGTTGTTATTCTGTCTCTCACTGTACAAATAAACCTACCATTAAAATTATAGACTGATCATTTCTTTGTCAGTGGGCAAACGTACAAAATCAGCAGGGGATCAAATACTTTTTTCCCTCACTGTAGTTGTTTCAGAATCTGAGTAGAATGAAGAGTATAGTTGTTTCAGAATCTGAGTAGAATGAAGAGTATAGTTGTTTCAGAATCTGAGTAGAATGAAGAGTATAGTTGTTTCAGAATCTGAGTAGAATGAAGAGTATAGTTGTTTCAGAATCTGAGTAGAATGAAGAGTATAGTTGTTTCAGACAAATATGCTGGATGAAGGGCCTAGAATCTGAAATGGCACCGTATTCCCTATTTAGTGCACTTCTTTTGAACAGAGCCTATAGGGCCCATCACGCTCTGGTCAAAAGTAGTGCACTATATAGGGGATAGGGTGCCATTTCAGATGCAAACTTGCTGTTTCTCACCTTTGTCTTTGACTGTTGGGCTGTCTGAACTGCTCTGAGCCACTGGTTCTGCTCTCTGTTGGCTTGGGGCCCCTGGACTGTGTTGGGGCCCCTGGACTGTGTTGGGCCCCTGGACTGGTGGCCCCTGGTGGCCCTGGGGTCTGGGAGAAGGTGGATGGACATCAAGAGTAAAGGCTTTGCCCTTCACATCCATGGCCAAGGCAGCTGGCGGTTCTGAGCATTATAATACAGAAGATGATGATGGTGGTGATGGTTGATGATGGTGGTGATGGTGATGATGGTGATGGTGATGATGGTATTGGTGATGATGGTGATGGTGATGGTGGTGATGGTGGTGGTGATGGTGATGGTGATGATGGTGGTGATGGTGGTGATGATAGTGATGGTGATGGTGATGATGGTATTGGTGATGGTGGTGATGGTGATGATGGTTATGATAGTGATGGTGATGGTGATGATGGTGATGGTGATGGTATTTGTGGTGATGGTGATGATGGTGATGATCGTGATGGTGATGATAGTGGTAATGGTGGTGATGGTGTTGGTGATGATGTGGGAGGGAGACAGAGTGAAAGGAATGGGTTAGGAAGACTGTGAAAGGGAGTAGCATTTTTAGAATTGTTGCATGATGATTTGTATTAATACTCTGTTTGTGTCCCAAATGGCACCCTATTCCCTATATAGTGCACTATAGGGCCCATCGAACTCTGGTCAAAAGTAGTGCACTATATAGGGAATAGGGTGCCATTTGGGATGCGACGTCTGTCTCTGTGTGGTCAGACTCACTGCTTTGCTTTGTGTGCTGTTGCACAGCATGGTGCTGGTTAGCCTGGTCAACCTCTCCACTGGAGCTGGGAGATACTAGGAGGGTGTCACACTGCTGCTGAGGCACGCAGACAGGTAGAGGCGAGGGGCTGGGGTTGCTGAACACTGCAGTCTGGAGCTGGGGGTAGGGGCCGACAGCCAGGGGGGAGCGGCTGACAGGCAGAGGGGAGGGGCTTCTAAACATTGCAGACTGGAGCTGGTGGGAGGCGCTGACAGGCAGAGGGGAGGGGCTTCTGAAAACTGCAGTCTGGGTTTGAGGGACGGCACTTCCAGCAGACCCAGAGCCAGGCCCAGCCAGTCCCAGGGAGGTGGCCCCACTTGGTGGGGAGGAGAAACTGTCTCGTGGGGGTGTGGACCCTAAGGTCTGCCCAGGTGTAGGTGTGGTCCCTAAGCCCTGCCCAGCTGGGGGTGTGCTCACCAAGCCCTGCCCATTCGGGGGTGTGGTCCCTAAACCCTGCCTAGCTGGGGGTGTGGTCCCTAAGCCCTGCCCATTCGGGGGTGTGGTCCCTAAGCCCTGCCTAGCTGGGGGTGTGGTCCCTAAGCCCTGCCCATTCGGGGGTGTGGTCCCTAAGCCCTGCCCATTCGGGGGGGTGGTCCCTAAGCCCTGCCCAGCCGGGGGTGTGGTCCCTAAGCCCTGCCCAGCTGGGGGTGTGGTCCCTAAACCCTGCTCAGGTGGAGATTGGCATAGCAGGGTAGGAGATTGGCATAGCAGGGTAGGAGATTGGCATAGCAGGGTAGGAGAGTGGCCTGGCAGGGTGGTCTCCTCTGTCTCTGGGAGTAGTGGAACTGTATAGGCCACCAACACACAGCGGCTGAGGGGCATCACGGACTGGGCTCCTGCCTGTCCTAGAACTGCTGGCTGGATGGGTGGAGGGGCCTCCTCCATCTCACTGGAAACAGCGGAGACAGTCCCAGCCAGGTCCTCAGGTGGTGGGGAGGGATGGGGAGGGATGGGTGGAGGGGCCTCCTCCATCTCACTGGCAACAGCGGAGACAGTGTTGTCCTCCACCAACACCACCACAGTCCCAGCAAGGTCCTCAGGTGGTGGGGAGGGATGAGGAGGGGCTTGCTATGGTGAGATGAAAGAAAACAATAAGGTTATGTTATGTAAAGACAATATCTTCAACGTTTAATCAATAAACCTTTAAAGCGACAATCAGCAGTTCAAATCCCGCCCCTGTTTCGGTAAAAAACTGAGGGATGGGGCTGGAGAAATGTAAACACTCTGAAATTCATAGACAAACCTGTGGATGCAAGGACTGACCATCCATGATATCAAGATGATAGTTTGAACCATGTTGAGGCTATACAATGTTGGTTTACATGTACATTATTTACAAACAGAGTAAAACAAGCTTCTATTTTGGTTGCGACAGTTGAACTAAACTCATGAGGCATTTATACGTTAGATTCTTCAAGAATCAATGGGTACATATCGTTAATTTATATGGCCAAAAATGGATGTACCAACTGCAGACTGCCCCTTTAAGTCAATAAACAGAAAAGATAAGAGAGCATATAGGCTGGTTGACCTGTTGTAGATGATGGATGAAGGCCTGGGTCTGGATGTGAGTGATGGGGCTGTGAACCTCCTCCTCCACCCCTGGTTTTGTCCCTGTCTCCGTCTGGGGCAGTCGGTGTTTGTGTGACGTCCCAACTGGGTCCAGCAGGTGTTTGGGTAACGACCCAACTGGGTACAGCAGGTGTTTGGGTAACGACCCAACTGGGTACAGCAGGTGTTTGGGTAACGACCCAACTGGGTCCAGCAGGGGTTTGGGTAACGACCCAACTGGGTCCAGCAGGTGTTTGGGTAACGACCCAACTGGGTCCAGCAGGTGTTTGGGTAACGACCCAACTGGGTCCAGCAGGTGTTTGGGTAACGACCCAACTGGGTCCAGCAGGTGTTTGGGTAGCATACCAGGTGGATCCAGGGCCTGTGGGGCCTCCAGCGGGGTCTGTAGGAGGGCCACTACAGGGGGAGAAGGGGACTGGAGACTGGCGGTGGAGGGTTGGAGAGAGGCATGCTGCTGGAGAAGGTGCCTTGTCGACTGAGGAGGGGAACAACAAACTGAATAGAGACTGTTCTGCTGTACATTTGTTTTGCTAGTTTGCTAGACCGACCTAGCATTTGACTTAGGAGGTTCAATCAATCAACCAATCAATTAACGAATAAATTAACTAAATTAACCGAGCACCAATCAATTACCCAATCATGTACTCAATCAATCTACCAGCCAACCAATCAATCAATCAATCAATCAATCAATCAATCAATCAATCAGTCAATCAATCCGTGTTGACTTCTCACCTGAGGCAGATGTGGGGACGTCGCTTCCTCCCTCCTCTCTTTATGGCCAGCTCTGTCAGGCAGCAACACTACAGACGCCTGCTGAACACTGATCTGTCCCTCTGTAGTGCCCCCTAGGGGTCTGGAAGTCTGGGGGGTGAAGGGCAGGCCCTGTACTACAGCAGGAGGGGTGCTGTTGAGGATGGAAATGGAGGTCATGTGACTGTCTGGGTGGGTTGAGGTGAGCTGCATCCCAGAGCTGTTGAGGGAGACAGAGTGAAAGGAGTGGGTGAGGGAGACTGAAAGGGTAGTAGTAGTAGTGTTGTTATATTTGTTGTATGATAATTTCGTATAAATTCTCTGGTTGCGTCCCAAATGGCACCCTATATAGTGCACTACTTTAGACCAGAGAATGGCACCCTATTCCCTATATAGTGCACTACTTTAGACCAGAGAATGACACCCTATTCCCTATATAGTACACTACTTTAGACCAGAGAATGGCCCCCTATTCCCTATATAGTGCACTACTTTAGACCAGAGAATGGAACCCTATTCCCTATATAGTGCACTACTTTAGACCAGAGAATGGCCCCCTATTCCCTATATAGTGCACTACTTTAGACCAGAGAATGGAACCCTATTCCCTATATAGTGCACTACTTTAGACCAGAGAATGGCCCCCTATTCCCTATATAGTGCACTACTTTAGACCAGAGAATGGCACCCTATTCCCTATATAGTGCACTACTTTAGACCAGAGAATGGCACCCTATTCCCTATATAGTGCACTACTTTAGACCAGAGAATGGCCCCCTATTCCCTATATAGTGCACTACTTTAGACCAGAGAATGGCACCCTATTCCCTATATAGTGCACACTTTAGACCAGAGAATGGCCCCCTATTCCCTATATAGTGCACTACTTTAGACCAGAGAATGGACCCTATTCCCTATATAGTGCACTACTTTAGACCAGAGAATGGCACCCTATTCCCTATATAGTGCACTACTTTAGACCAGAGAATGGAACCCTATTCCCTATATAGTGCACTACTTTAGACCAGAGAATGGAACCCTATTCCCTATATAGTGCACTACTTTAGACCAGAGAATGGCACCCTATTCCCTATATAGTGCACTACTTTAGACCAGAGAATGGACACCTATCTCCTATATAGTGCACTACTTTAGACCAGAGAATGGCCCATATTCATATAGTGCATATTTAGACCAAGATGCCCTATTCCACATTATGTGACTCTTTAGACCAGAATGGAACCCATTCCTATAAGGTGCACACTTTAGACATAGAAGCCTTTCCTATTGTCCTACTGATTAGACAAAACGGCCCCTATCCTATTAGTCACAACTTAGACAGAGAATGGCCTATCCTATATAGTGCACTACTTTAGACAGATGAACCTTTCTATATATGCACACTTAGACCAGGAGAATGGCCCCTTTCCTATATAGGCACACTTGACCAGGAAGGCCCCCTATCTAATAGTGCACTACTTAGACCAGATGCCTATCCATAACTAGTGCACTACTAGACCATATATAGGTGGCACTACTTTAGACCAGGAATGGCACCCTATTACCGTATATAGTGCACCACTTTAGAACCAGCGAATGGCCCCCCCTATTTCCCTTATATAGTGCACTACTTTAGATGCCCGAGCAAATGGCACCTATTCCCTATAGTGGTGCACTTACTTTAGGACCAGAGAGTGGCCCCTTATTCCCTATATAGTGCACTAACTTAGAACCAGGAATGGGAACCCTATTCCCTATATAGTGCAATACTTTTAGACCAGAAGAATGGCACCCTATTCCCTATATAGTGCACTACTTTAGGACCAGGAATGGACACCCTATTCCCATATATAGTGCCACTACTTTAGACCAGAGAATGGAAACCCTATTCCCTATATAGTGCATACTTTAGACCAGAGAATGGCACCCTATTCCCTATATAGTGCACTACTTTAGACCAGAGAATGGCACCATATTCCTTATATAGTGCACTACTTTAGACCAGGGCTCATAGGGTTCATTTGAATGTCTACACACCCCTTGCACAGTTGTCACATTTTGCTGCCTTAGAATGTAATCTAAAAGGGGATTCAATAGAATCGTTTTCCTACTGATCTACACAACCGGCTCCACATTTTTCAAAGTAAAAGAAAAAGTATAGAACATTTTGTAAATGAATTTTTAAAAAATGAAGACGGGGGAGGTTTTGTAGGATCTTCAGAGGCTCAAATGGAGCCACCCGCAGTGCCTCCATAACTAGCGCCAAGTCCCAAAGTGGGCGCAATAGGTTTAGAGACAGGTCTGAGACCTTTCAGCAACCAGGGGGTGGGGTCCCGGAGGCTCAATCAGTTCCCACATGACACGCTGATAGCGGCCATGTACGCGTTTAACGTAGAGAATGCCCACCCCCTGCTCCAAAAGCTCCTGTAGGACCATAAGGATGTCCCTCACAGAGCACTGAAAAGGAACAAGACCTTTATCTTGGCACCAGAGCTCAAACACTTGCCACATACGCATACAGCCCTCTCGTGGAGGCCGCCCTTGCAGACTGAACGGTGGCAATAACATTCGGAAGGTAAACCTCTAGCTATCAGATTGGCCCTCTCAGGGGCCAGGCCCATGTGAAGCAAATCTCCAGTCTCGCTTGCCAAGCCTTCCTGTGCACCTGGGACAACAGGTCCCTGCGCAACGGGAGTTTCCACGGGTCCCCGTCTAGAAGGCGAACGATCTCCGCGAACCAAGGCTGCCTGGGCCAACGGGGAGCCACAAGAATCAATGGTAAGCCCTCCCGGCGTACTCTCTCCAATGTGGGCTGAATCTGAACCATTGGCGGAAACACGTAAAAGAGGGTCCAAGGCCACTGTTGGTGTAGCCTCCACTCCTGAGAGAGAGGGTCCCACCTGGATAAAAGATCTGCATCCAAATTGAGACAACCGCGGACATGCGTCGCCCAAAGAGAGAGCATGTGCGCACTGCTCCCCAGCAATAGGGAGCGAGCCAAGGTTAGGAGGGAGAGAGACAGAGTCTCTCCCCATCACTGACATATTGTCGGTTCTGACCAGCACAAGCCGGCCCAACAAAAGCAGGGGGAAGCGCCTGAGCGCCAGATACACAGTAAGGAGCTCCGGGTAATTGGTGTGCAGTGCGCGCCGCACCAGTGTCCATACCACCCTGAATCGAGTTGCCTTCGTACAGCGCACCCCACCCTCGGGGGGACGCGTCTGTCGTGATCACACTGTGGGATACACTCAGCACATGGGTGCCCCCTGACAATAGCAGAGGGTCCCACCACTGGGCCAGGGCCCGTAGGCCTGACAGGGACGCCCGAAGCGACCGGCTTAGGCTGCGAGATGCATCTAGGTGAGTGGCTAGCACTCAGCGCAGGAACAATAGCCCCAGGGGAACGACTTCCATCACAGAAAGCGTCATCCCCAGTAGGCGTAGGCACTGGCAAAAAATGCACTGTGTGCCCCAGATGAAATTTGGCTAAGCAAAGCGATACGCGAGTGAGTCTTGCTCGAGACCCCAAAAACGGAATGCGCTGAGCTCTTTTTCTGGTTTCTTATGAAGCCTAGAGACTGAATATGGGTCAGTACAGGACTTCGGCAACCAGAAACGTGTCCCTATTGACCGAGCCACTTGGGAGCACTGTTGCCACAGTAAAAGCTTCGGGAGGAGGCCCCAGAGAACACGCCCCGTCTCCCGACCTCCAGCTAGGGTCGCGATGTCTGATCCTTCCCCCGCACTACGGAAGAATCAGCTTTCACCCCTCTCCCTTTTCGACCCAGCACGTCATTTGTGCCAACACGTCCGCCCCTGCCCAGAAGCACCAAGCCGGTCAAAAACCGACCTTGAAGCTACCTCCTGACCCGGGGCAACCCGCCTCTGGTCTGGACCCTTTACTTCTTGCCGAGCCGCTCCCTGGGAAGGATTTTGGTGGGAAAGGGAACTGCGTCCTGTTTTTGTTTCTCCTCGAAACGGGCCTGTAAGGACTCCATAGCTGAGCCAAACAACCTTGTTGGCGAAACTGGCTTATCCAAACACATCCGCCTGTCCCTCTCAGGAACCACACCCTCAGCCTGGTACACTTTGTCCAGCTGATCCGCCGAGAACCAGGACTGTTTATTCAAAAGCACTGTGCTAGGATTAGCCCCCTTGTTAGCCTCTTGAGCTAAGTAACTCGCCAGCTTTTTATCTATCAGTGGTGTGCAAATGAGCTCTGCCTCCTCCATACCCTCTACATTCATGAACTCACCATAACCTGGCAGCACCAACCTGGCTGAATGAGGGGAATCCCAGGTCACCTTTAGCTCATCTGCAAAATCTTTAAACAAGGATAAGCGATGCTTCACCGCCGCAGGGACAGGAGGTAAATACCTGGCCCCAAATCTGGAGGAACTCCGCTGCAGAGAAGAAGACGGCCAATCCATCCACAGGTGATCTGTCGCACAACGACACAGCTCCATCAAAGGCATATTAACAACCAATGGTTCACTTTCCCCGCTAAATCCAAAGCCGGAGCTTTAGGCTACCCCGGACTGATGTCAGCCGATTCACACTCTGAAAACCCTCCAGAGCCAACCAGGGGATAGTATATCATCCCCGGAATGCAGACTCTGAACACTGCCAGAGAAACCGGAATGAGCCTCACTCGGCTGGGATGACACCCCTATCAACTCCGACCAGCGCTGCTGCTCTCTCCCGGCCTCAGACAAACCCATTCCCGAGGTCGCTTCACCGGAAGACCCTTCGCCAGCAGCCCCAATCTTTCTCACAAAGTCAGCCCGACGCCCGACGGAAGTTGAACCCAGATGGAACTGGTCCAAAGCCTTGTGTTTCCACACCAGGCAAACATGACAGCAATCGTGAGTATCTTTAATCTTCATTGTGAAACCACACGCCCTAGGGCACGGTCGGAGGTTCAAACTCAGCTGGTTAGCCTTTTTCTAACTTACTCTTACCACTGGCCATCTTCCTCAAGCAAGAAAGCACTGGCTACACAAGCAGAGCAGAAAGTAGTGGGTTTTTAGCAAACACAAAAACCGATTCCAAGATCCAAAACCCACAACATCTAGGGGGGCGAGTACTCTCTCCCCACTAACAGACACCTAAGTCGGAGCCGGATCTCGTAGTCTTCGTGTGTGCTTGGAAAGTTTATAAATTGTGTGACACGTTCTTCCTTCAGGCGAGCTGAAGAGCGAAACATTTAGGAAATTAATGCGAGCCCCGTTATTATAGCCAGAAAGGCGGGGCTTCCGAGGGTGGGCTCAGCATCCATTGCCCCTTTCGGCGTGATTTCAGTTTTTTCTTCAGGTGAATATGTTATACCAGGTGACCAACTGAAAGGGAACCTGTATCACTAGACACCACCTATCACTAGACACCACCTATCACTAGACACCACCTATCACTAGACACCAGCTGTCACTAGACACCACCTATCACTAGACACCACCTATCACTAGACACCACCTATCACTAGACACCACCTATCACTAGACACCACCTATCACTAGACACCACCTATCACTAGACACCACCTATCACTAGACACCACCTATCACTAGACACCAGCTATCACTAGACACCACCTATCAACACCAGCTATCACTAGACACCACCTATCACTAGACACCACCTATCACTAGACACCAGCTATCACTAGACACCACCTATCACTAGACACCACCTATCACTAGACACCTCATAGTGAGCTACAGTCAGGAATCAGCAATGAATCCGAGTAATGAACCATCTATGGGGGAGGGGAGCCCCCTTGTGGACAGAGAGTGAATCAGCCAATTTAAGAGATTGATATACCCCTTGAACACCATGGAACGCAGGGTACCAGAGGGGCATTAAACATGGACAAGCTTCCAACACGTGTTGTGCTTCCGTGAGACTGTATAGCCTGCATGAAGCCCAACCCCGTATGGGCACAGAGGGCGCACTGGTCGCTCAGACCCGTGCTAAGGCCCCTCGCTCCGGGGTTACCCGTGCCAGCTGCTTGGGTGCTGCTTCCTCATCGGAGGAGCACGCCGGCCCCGCTCTCTCTACTCGCCTCCAACTCCAGGAATTGAAAATAGGAATGGGGTTGCCATAACGACGGGGGAAGGCTAGTAAGCTTCATTCACTGGAAGTGACGTTAGCCAGGAGGCTCTTTAGCATCAGCTGGGCTAGCTATCCTCTTTGACCGCAGCACGGTCCGTTTAGAATAGCCAAGCCACTTAACGCTACGTGTACTAAACAAGAATTCTACCCAAGGAACTCCACCGCGGGGAGGCAGGACTAGCTAGCGGACTAAGGGAACAGTGCCAGCCGTCCGCTAGTTCTGAACACGAACTGATTAGTCTAAGCCAATTGTGCGCCGCCCCATGGGTCTCCCGGTCGCGGCCCGGCTGCGACAGCTGTAAAAACAAAGTTTATTTTGGTCCTCCGAAGAGGTGGATGGGTCCATTTATTTTATTAAAATAAAAATGTGATTAGGAATCTTATGACAGCCATACAAACTTCAATGTTTAGGGGGTGAGCACGCTCTACCACTAATGGACAGTTTAGTTGGCGGAACGTAACACAGTCTCCTGTTCCAATTGTTTATTTCAGTAGCGTGAATCGTTCCTGTTCACGCCGAGGTGAAGAGTAGAATAATTGAAGGAATGAATCCGAGCCTCACGCTTATCACCTGTGGAAGGTGGGGGTTCCAGCGAGGTGCAGATTTAATTTGCCTTGTCAGGCGTGATTGTAGATCCTTCAACCGAAGTCGCGAGAGTGCTATCCCCATAGTATGTTGTACCGAAATTGACTGACTGAAAGGGAACTTGAGGTTTTTAATTTAAGCCATAAAGTTAATTACTTTGCCATGTTGTTTTGGGGTATTACTTAAGGGCCTTGTTGCAAACATAGTGGATGATTTGAAATATATTTTTTTAACACTGGCTACCTTCTTTTCACTTTGTCGTACAGGACAGTAATGTGGAGTGAATGCAATGTTGTGAAACCCTCTATATTGTCAAGTATTGTGGTGGCAGCATCATGTTTTGGGTATGCTTGTCACCAGCAGGGACTGGGGAATTTGTCAGGATCAAAATACATATGAAAGGAACAACGCTCAGGTAAAACGTTAAGAGGAAAACCTGCCTCAGTCTTCTGAATACCTAACCCTGGGATAGAGTTTTACTTTTCAGCAGGACAATTACACAAATGTTCATGCTTAAGACACACCAGAATGGCTTTCCAAGAGGTGTTGAGTGGTACACAGTCCTGACTTAAATCAGCTTGAAAAACAGAGACAAGGTTTGAATATTGCTGTCCATCAATGATTCCCAACCAGATTTACTGTGCTTGAGTAATTTTGGCAAAAAAACTATGGATATTTGTTGCCCTAAGCGTTGTGCAGAGTTGGTGGAATCGTATTCAAAATGATTCCCAGCTGTAATGGCTGCCAAAGATGCTTCCACCAAGTATTAACTCTGGGGTGTGAAGACATACGCAATCAAGATATCTTCGTTTTTTATTTTGTGTTAATTTATTTAGATACTTTTTATTTTACTTTGAAAAATGTGGAGCCGGTTGTGTGTAGATCAGTAGGAAAAAATTATATTGAATCCCTTTTTAGATTATATTTTAAGGCAGCAAAATGTGACAACTGTGCAAGGGGTGTGTAGACTTTCACTAGGCCCTGTAGGGAATAGGGTGCTATTTGGGATGCAGACTCTATCTCTGTGTGGTCACACTCACTGCATCAGGGTGATGTGGTTCCCCAGAGCAGGGCTGTGGAGCAGGGTGGCATGCTGCCCTGGACCCCCCTGCCCCTGGGGCCCCTGGGGGCTGTAGGCCCCCGCCAACTGGGCCGGCATCTGGAAGAGAGCAGGGGACCCCGACTGCAGCTGCAGGGGGCCAGAGAGCAGGGTCCCCTGGCGGAGGGAGAGCTGGCCTGTTGGGGTGGTGCTGAAGACTGTGTGGGGGCTGAAGTTGAGCTGTCTGTGGTGGGGCACGGCCGTCAGGATCTGGGACCCGTCTACCAGGTGGTGGCCGATGGAGGGTGTCATACCCTGGACAGACTGGACTGTTGCTCCCTGGTGGCCGGAGGTGAACAGGGGCCGCGCTGCACCGCCAGGCTGGGACAGGGTGACAGGGGATTGGCCGGGCAGCTGGGACAGGGTGACAGGGGATTGGCCGGGCAGGAGGAACTGATTCTGGCCATGGAAGAGACCCTGAGGCTGGATCAGGAAGGAGCCTCCTCCCTGGTTGACCAGCTGCAGGCTGAGGGGCTGGGGTTTGGTAAGGTGGGGGGCAGTGAGGTGGGGGGCAGTGAGGTGGGGGGCAGTGAGGTGGCGGGAGGTGAGGTGTTGGGCAGGCTGCGGCTGGGGAGGAGGCTTGGAGCCTGGAGGAGGAGGGGACAAGAGGATATTTGACGAGGGCGTCCCAGGGAGGAAGGTGAGACCTGGAGAGGGTTTCTGACTAGGACCACCAGGGCCAGGAGGCTTGGGGCTGATCTGAACCAGTCGGGGTTGGATGTTGATAGGCAGCTTGGGCTGGATGGGCAGGGGCCCTCTCTGGAGAAAGATACCGGGAGCTGCAGCCGCTCTGAGGGTTGAGGCCAGTAGGGGGGGCCCTTTCAGCCCTGTCAGGCTAGGAACTGCCTTATGGATGAGGGAAAAGGAGGTGTTGGAGGCCTGGGCAGGGGTCAGGGAGAAGGAGGTCTCTGGGGGAGGTGCGGGGAAGATGTTCCCAGGGAGAAGGCCCATCATCTGGGGAGCGGCAGGCTTCAGAGAGGGGCAGCCTGGTCCCACGGCCAGCAGGGAGGGCTGGGGAGGCTCCACCGCAGCCTGGGTGTCCCTGTGCATGGGAGGCAGGGTGGGGGGGCCAGGGTAGGGGTGGGGGGGGCCAGGGTAGGGGTGGGGGAAGGCTTTGGAGAGGAACGGCACGGCAGCGGGAGGAGGGAGGAGTGGGGGGCCAGGTGTGTAGAGAGACAGGGTGTGGCCCTCCCCAGGCCCTGGTTGGACGAGCCCCGCCTCCAGAGCCATGGTGTGCTCTGTGATGTCAGCCTCCTGAAGACTCTGCTGGAGGATGTCACAGGGCGGTACTTCCTCCTGCTCTTCCTCTCTCGCCCCTCTTCTCTCCCCCCCTCCCTCGGGGGACCCCCCCAGCAGAGCCTCTTCCAGGAAGGACAGGTCAACGCATTCTGCAGGGGGGGTGTCCTGCGAGGTGGTGATGTCATCTGCCAACAGAGACATTGGGCTCTGAGGGAGGGAGGGAGGGAGGGAGGGAGGGAGGGAGGAAAAAAGAGTAGGAGAACATCAGAATTATCCTAGAGTTACAGTGTGAGAGATAAATAATGGTCAACGGCTAGTCCTTGATTTGAAAAAAGGGTTCCAAAAGGGTTCTTCGGCTGTCCCCATAGGAGAACCCTTTTGGGTTCCATGTAGAACACTCTGTGGAAAGGGTTCTACATGCAACATTTACAGTTAACATTTTAGTAATTTAGCAGACAGATTTTTCACCTAGTCGGCTCAAGGATTCGAACCCGCTACCTTTCGTTTACTGGCCAATGCTCTTAACCGCTAGGCTACTTGCCGCCCAAAAGGGTTCTTGCTGGAACCCCAAAAAGGTTTCTTCAAAGGGTTCTCCTCTTCTAAGACTGTAGGTGTGGGTTCGTCTGTGCATACAGAGGCTGACTCAGCAGGATGTCAGTGAAGAGGCAAGGGATAGAGGATGAGGGAAGATTGGGGCAGACTCTCACCGGGAGGGTCAGTGAATAGGGAGAGAGAGAGGGATGGAGGGAGAGATGGGGCATACTCACCGGTGGGTCAGTGAAGAGGTAGAGAGAGGAAGGGTGGAGGGAGAGATGGGGAGACTCACCGGAGGTCGTGAAGAGGGATGAGAGAGAGGGATGGAGGGAGAGATGGGGCAGACTCACCGGTGGTCCGTGAAGAGGGAGAGAGAGAGGGAATGGAGGGAGAGATGGGGGGCAGACTCACCGGGGGGTCAGTGAAGAGGGAGAGAGAGAGGATGGAGGGAGAGATGGGGGCAGACTCACCGGGGGGTCAGTGAAGAGGAGAGAGAGAGGGATGGAGGGGAGAGATGGGGGGCAGACTCACCGGGGGGTCAGTGAAGAGGGAGAGAGAGAGGGATGGAGGGAGAGATGGGGGCAGACTCACCGGGGGGTCAGTGAAGAGGGAGAGAGAGAGGGATGGAGGGAGAGATGGGGGCAGACTCACCGGGGGGTCAGTGAAGAGGGAGAGAGAGAGGGATGGAGGGAGAGATGGGGGCAGACTCACCGGGGGGTCAGTGAAGAGGGAGAGAGAGAGGGATGGAGGGAGAGATGGGGGGCAGACTCACCGGGGGGTCAGTGAAGAGGGAGAGAGAGAGGGATGGAGGGAGAGATGGGGGCAGACTCACCGGGGGGGTCAGTGAAGAGGGAGAGAGAAGAGGGATGGAGGAGAGATGGGGGCAACTCACCGGGGGGTCAGTGAAGTGGGAGAGAGAGAGGGATGGAGAGAGAGATGGGGGCAAACTCACCGGGGGGTCAGTGAAGAGGGAGGGGGGCTCTCCAGAGGAACAGGTAAGGAGCAGGTCTTCATTCTGCAGCTGGTGAAACAGAGAGACAATACCATGATCATAGTGGTGAAACAGAGAGACAATACCATGATCATACTGAGAGACGTTCACAATATGATATGTGGTCCTCTGTAGCTCAGCTGGTAGAGCACGGCGCTTGTAACGCCAAGGTAGTGGGTTCGATCCCCGGGACCACCCATACACAAAAATGTATGCACGCATGACTGTAAGTCGCTTTGGATAAAAGCGTCTGCTAAATGGCATATTATTATTATTATTATCATACTGGTGAAACAGAGACAATACCATGATCACAGTGGTGAAACAGAGACAATACCATGATCACACTGGTGAAACAGAGACAATACCATGATCATAGTGGTGAAACAGAGAGACAATACCATGATCATAGTGGTGAAACAGAGACAATACCATGATCACACTGGTGAAACAGAGACAATACAATGATCATAGTGGTGAAACAGAGAGACAATACCATGATCATAGTGGTGAAACAGAGAGACAATACCATGATCAGAGTGGTGAAACAGAGAGACAATACCATGATCACACTGAGAGACGTTCACAATATGATATGTGGTCCTCTGTAGCTCAGCTGGTAGAGCACGGCACTTGTAACGCCAAGGTAGTGGGTTCGATCCCCGGGACCACCCATACACAAAAAATGTATGCACGCATGACTGTAAGTCGCTTTGGATAAAAGCATCTGCTAAATGGCATATTATTATTATTATTATATATAATATCAATATCATAATCAGAAGGTTTACAATGCTATCATATTGATGACTTAGAGGAGTTTACAATACTATCATATTGATGACATCAGACAGTTATGACCATAGAGATCCTATTAAACTAGCATTCCAATTCCTATTTCTATGGTTATGATACCATCATTCTCTGGTTCTCTGTGACAACATCAGTTCTCTTTTCATCATTATTGTACCACGAACAACAGCTATTTATAAATCAATAACACATTTGGCATTGTCTCTCTGAGAGGCCAGTTCTGATTAATGCTGGGATAATAAGAGAAATGATTACCTCATTGGTTCCATGAAGGAAGTTATTTAAGGCTTGGGGATCACTGAAGGAAAAATAAGATAGGGTTAAATATAGCTCTTAGATCAGGACTGGCTGATTAAACATTATCTTAGAGTATCAAACTAATATCATGTTTCATTTCTATCAAATACCTTTTTTGCAGAAAGATCATCATCAGCATCATCATAACCATCATCATCATCACCATCATCATCATCAACACCATCATAACCATCATCATCATCAACACCATCATCACCATCATCATCAACCATCATCACTCACCACAAAACATCAAGTAGACACGTCCCGTCTTCATCCTCCATGTTAGCTGAAGGGGAGAAGGAGGAGGAGGTCACACCACACAGCTCTCTCTCTAATTCTAGATCCATCTTCAGCACCTGATGACATTGAAATGTTTGAAGTGGCTAACAGCATCGAGCCACGCCTCATTATTCGGGAGTAAAATAATACTTAGAAAGTGCATTGAGTGAAGGGCATCCCATACCCAACCTCCGTCAGTGGTTTAACAGAGCGTAAAACATACTAACTCTCTGGTGTGAAGGGCATCCCATACCCAACCTCCTGCAGTGGTTTAACAGAGTGTAAAACATACTAACTCTCTGGTGAGAAGGGCATCCCATACCCAGCCTCCTTCAGTGATTTAACAGAGTGTAAAACATACTAACTCTCTGGTGTGAAGGGCATCCCATACCCAACCTCCTTCAGTGGTTTAACAGAGCGTAAAACATACTAACTCTCTGGTGTGAAGGGCATCCCATACCCAACCTCCTGCAGTGGTTTAACAGAGTGTAAAACATACTAACTCTCTGGTGTGAAGGGCATCCCATACCCAACCTCCTGCAGTGGTTTAACAGAGTGTAAAACATACTAACTCTCTGGTGTGAAGGGCATCCCATACCCAACCTCCTGCAGTGGTTTAACAGAGTGTAAAACATACTAACTCTCTGGTGTGAAGGGTATCCCATACCCAACCTCCTGCAGTGGTTTAACAGAGTGTAAAACATACTAACTCTCTGGTGTGAAGGGCATCCCATACCCAACCTCCTGCAGTGGTTTAACAGAGTGTAAAACATACTAACTCTCTGGTGTGAAGGGCATCCCATACCCAACCTCCTGCAGTGGTTTAACAGAGCGTAAAACATACTAACTCTCTGGTGTGAAGGGCATCCCATACCAAACATCCTGCAGTGGTTTAACAGAGTGTAAAACATACTAACTCTCTGGTGTGAAGGGCATCCCATACCCAACCTCCTGCAGTGGTTTAACAGAGTGTAAAACATACTAACTCTCTGGTGTGAAGGGCATCCCATACCCAACCTCCTGCAGTGGTTTAACAGAGTGTAAAACATACTAACTCTCTGGTGTGAAGGGCATCCCATACCCAACCTCCTGCAGTGGTTTAACAGAGTGTAAAACATACTAACTCTCTGGTGTGAAGGGCATCCCATACCCAACCTCCTGCAGTGGTTTAACAGAGTGTAAAACATACTAACTCTCTGGTGTGAAGGGCATCCCATACCCAACCTCCTGCAGTGGTTTAACAGAGCGGAAAACATACTAACTCTCTGGTGTGAAGGGCATCCCATACCCAACCTCCTGCAGTGGTTTAACAGAGCGTAAAACATACTAACTCTCTGGTGTGAAGGGCATCCCATACCCAACCTCCTGCAGTGGTTTAACAGAGCGGAAAACATACTAACTCTCTGGTGTGAAGGGCATCCCATACACAACCTATTTACATTGTTTTTTTACACTGCTGCTACTCACTGTTTATTATCTATGCATAGTCACTTTACCCCTACCTACATGTACAAATTACCTCGACTAACCTGTTCCCCCGCACATTGACCCGGTACCGGTACCCCCTGTATATAGCCTCGTTATTGTTATTTTATTGAGTTACTTTTTAGTTTATTTTTTACTTTAGTTTATTTAGTAAATATTTTCTGAACTCTATTTCTTAAAACTGCATTGTTGGTTAAGGGCTTGTAAGTAAGCATTTCACGGTAAGGTCTACACCTGTTGTATTCGGCACATGTGACAAATACAATTTGATTTGATTTGATATTTCAGTGATTTAACAGAGTGTGAAACATACTATATCTCTGGTGTGAAGGGCATGGATGGATGCAGACCTACTTCATATGCTGGAGGCCCCATACAGAGGTGTCACGCTGAGTTCTCGTGGGGGCCTCATGGGAAGCTCTTCCCTGGGTTCAGGGGTCAGGGTTCAGTAGCTCCAGGGGATTAGCGGCTGGCAGCAAAGCGGTGCCCAGCTGAGGAGGCAGGACTCTGGGGCAGGTCCTCGGTCTGCTGGGGCATCACTGGATCTCACAACGGAGAGGACTAAGGCAGTGCAGGTCCTAAGGGCACAACATGGCCGACAGGTCATCTAAGGTTACTGCTGAAGTCTTACGGCGCCTGTCCTCTGCTTTAGACCTGTCCTCTGCTTTAGACCTGTCCTCTGCTTTAGACCTGTCCTCTGCTTTAGACCTGTCCTCTGCTTTAGACCTGTCCTCTGCTTTAGACCTGTCCTCTGCTTTAGACCTGTCCTCTGCTTTAGACCTGTCCTCTGCTTTAGACCTGTCCTCTGCTTTAGACCTGTCCTCTGCTTTAGACCTGTCCTCTGCTTTAGACCTGTGCCTGTTACCCACAACAGTCCGGGCTTAGTCCTCTCCTGACGTCTCTTGTAATGAATCTGTAATTTGGTTACTGCATTCTATAGAAATGACAGCAACAAAATATATTGTGTGTGTCGCTTGATTTCTCATTTGCATCCAAAATATTGGCGTGTGATAAAACATTGCCGTGTGATAAAACATTGGAGTGTGATAAAACATTGGAGTGTGATAAAACATTGGCGTGTGATAAAACATTGGCGTGTGATAAAACATTGGCGTGTGATAAAACATTGGCGTGTGATAAAACATTGGAGTGTGTGATAAAACATTGGAGTGTGATAAAACATTGGAGTGTGAATGTAATACAGCCCAGTCCCACACACGTGTAGGTGATTGCGGGCCATAAGCCATATCAATGACATGTAGAAACGGTACCCACACCATAACGGGCCATATCAATGACATGTAGAAACGGTACCCACACCATAACGGGCCAACGGTACCCACACCATAACGGGCCAACGGTACCCACACCATAACGGGCCATATCAATGACATGTAGAAACGGTACCCACACCATAACGGGCCATATCAATGACATGTAAGAACGGGTACCCACCATAACGGTCCAACGGTACCCACACCATACGGCCAACGGGCCACACCATAACGGGCCAACGGTACCCACACCATAACGGGCCATATCAATGACATGTAGAAACGGTACCCACACCATAACGGGCCATATCAATGACATGTAGAAACGGTACCCACACCATAACAGGCCATATCAATGACATGTAGAAACGGTACCCACACCATAACAGGCCATATCAATGACATGTAGAACGGTACCCACACCAACAGCATCATGACATGTAGAAACGGTACCCACACCATAACAGGCCATATCAATGACATGTAGAAACGGTACCCACACCATAACAGGCCGTATCAATGACATGTAGAAACGGTACCCACACCATAACAGGCTGTATCAATGACATGTAGAAACGGTACCCACACCATAACGGGCCATATCAATGACATTCAACATCATCTTTCATGTTGTGGGAAATGGTTCATATGATTCTGTTTGTATGCAATCACTAACTGTAAGTCGCTCTGGATAAGAGCGTCTGCTAAATGACTAAAAATGTAAATGTGAATGTATGCCATTTTCCTTTGTTATGGGCTTTAACATGTAGGTGAGAATAATAATATCATTTTTGAAAACAGATTATTTGGGGCGATTATAGCGGAGATGGCTACCTCCCCCCACCCCCCCCACCCCCACCCTTAAGCGAGCTGTGTAGGCTTTGACTTGTGTTCTTCTTTATGGATGTCTTGAGAAGCGACTGCGAATTAACCCATAACACATTGTAACAACATTAGGCTACTCGCTCCATTTCCTACCCATCTCGCTCCATTTCCAGGGGAGGTCCCTTAAAATAGACCGACCTCCTCCACGGATCTGTCATATTTTTGTTTACAACCACAACACACACACACCCGCCGCGGTAAACGACCGACCTTGAACCACCCCGCACAACTGAAATGTTGGTCTAAATATTTTGTAAATAATATACTGCTGTTTTGTCGTTACATTTTGCATAGGCTATACACTGTAAATTGGGAGTGAGAGTTAGATCTCACATCTAAAATAATGTACAGATAGTTGCTATGGATGGTGGGGTGCTGGTGATGATGCTTATTTCTTTCGAGGTGAGAGAGGGGGGGGGGGCAGCAGAAACAACAAAGGATGCTGTGTAAATCTAGCTACAGACTCCTCCGTCCCCCGTCTCCTTCTGCCATTAGAGAAAATTCCGCAATTCAACTTAGAAAAAAAACTCACCCTTTCTTCTTTAGTGGTTTATTGTCCTGTCAGCGAGGCGGGCCTCTGCGCCATCGATTCTCTCTCAGTGGTCTTTTGAGATGCTAAGAGGAGGGGTGGGACTGGGGTGGGTACGAAACAAGAGTGAGAGAGAGCCGACCAGAACACAAAAGGTAGAAAACAGTTGAAGGCAGCAGCAGCAGCAGCAATGTGGCCCAGCTGCCGCTACGTCCTTCAGTGGTGAAGAAGAGATGAGATGAGAACGCTGCATCCTCTCTCTCTCTCTCTCCAGTGCTCCTCTCATCATGCGGACGTTTTAAATATCCCAGCTCTCTTGGATAATGTTCTCTCATCGGGGAGCCATTTCATTATGCATGAATGAGCACTACGGAATCCAATGGAAAGACTTGTCCTCTAAAGATATAATTCTCGTAGTCCTATAATTCAGCTAGCGGTCTGATTTCTCATATATATTCGGTCCTAACAGTAGCGAATGTCTAAAATCATATAATGTTGCATACATTTACAATGAATGATTCATTAAAAGGCAGTGACATTAGAAACATTTCCAAATGTAACATTTCCAGAAATGGCCTGGTAAGAAAATAAATGACACATGCAGCACAATTAAAAGGATCAGCATCAAATAGCCAGTGACTGACAGGCCTTCCCCCATAATAAACCTATCAGCATCAAATAGCCAGTGACTGACAGGCCTTCCCCATAATAAACCTATCAGCATCAAATAGCCAGTGACTGACAGGCCTTCCCCATAATAAACCTATCAGCATCAAATAGCCAGTGACTAACAGGCCTTCCCCCATAATAAACCTATCAGCATCAAATAGCCAGTGACTGACAGGCCTTCCCCATAATAAACCTATCAGCATCAAATAGCCAGTGACTGACAGGCCTTCCCCCATAATAAACCTATCAGCATCAAAGAGCCAGTGACTGACAGGCCTTCCCCCATTATAAAACCAAACCGCATATGACTGAAATAATAATGTATCAATAAGTCATATTTCAGTAAAAATCATTGAACTTCTCCCGATAATGTTATTTCAAAGTGAGCATCAAACTTCTCACACTGCCATTCATGTCAGAAATCATACATTAAAAATAAACTCACTTTAGTGTGCCATTCTGTCAATATGACCAAGGTTCTTACAATAAAGTAGGAATTCAAAGCAGGCCACAGTGGCCAAGTAATCTCCGTATGAGAACAGAACACACAAACGTCGAACAGTAACACAAAAACCCAGAGTATTTCTTGCTGTTTTTTATTTATTTAAGTAAAGACAAAAAGACATCTTCTTAAAAAGGGGGAAACCACTTTAAATACAAACATTTAAAACAAAATGAAAAAAAAATCACACTTTACCACAGCCCTCTATAAAAGTTCTCACTGAAACAACTTATAAAGATAGTAAAATATCCAGGACTCATAACAACATAATTCAACCCTTCTCCGTTCCTATCAAACGTCCCCCACCCCACGTGACCCCACCCTAACAACCTCTGATTGGTCATTGGTCGCGGTCCAGGAAGACTACATTGCAGATGTTGCACGGCATCAACCAATGTCAGCGACTGCGCAGTTGTCATCAGATTGCTATATATATATATATATATATATCGTAGGATGTGGTTAGCCGACATGTTAAACACCCAACCAGACATTGTGAGATCATGCGTCTGCAGTGTAGTCAGCCTGGAACGGGGCCAGAGCCTCATTTCCCAGCCTGTTGGGCCTGACGCCGCAGCAGCACGTAAATCTTCTCCTTGATCCAGTCCTTGTTGTACGGCTGGTACGTCTGTGTGTCCGCACGGTACCTAACGGAGAGAGACAGACAGAAAGATATATTAAAACATGGGCTGGTACGTCTGTGTGTCCGCACGGTACCTAACGGACAGACAGATATATTAAAACATGGGCTGGTACGTCTGTGTGTCCGCACGGTACCTAACGGAGAGACAGACGGAAAGATATATTAAAACATGGGCTGGTACGTCTGTGTGTCCGCACGGTACCTAACGGACAGACAGATATATTAAAACATGGGCTGGTACGTCTGTGTGTCCGCACGGTACCTAACGGAGAGACAGACGGAAAGATATATTAAAACATGGGCTGGTACGTCTGTGTGTCCGCACGGTACCTAACGGAGAGACAGAAAGATATATTAAAACATGGGCTGGTACGTCTGTGTGTCCGCACGGTACCTAACGGACAGACAGATATATTAAAACATGGGCTGGTACGTCTGTGTGTCCGCACGGTACCTAACGGAGAGACAGACGGAAAGATATATTAAAACATGGGCTGGTACGTCTGTGTGTCCGCACGGTACCTAACGGACAGACAGATATATTAAAACATGGGCTGGTACGTCTGTGTGTCCGCACGGTACCTAACGGAGAGACAGAAAGATATATTAAAACATGGGCTGGTACGTCTGTGTGTCCGCACGGTACCTAACGGAGAGACAGACGGAAAGATATATTAAAACATGGGCTGGTACGTCTGTGTGTCCGCACGGTACCTAACGGACAGACAGATATATTAAAACATGGGCTGGTACGTCTGTGTGTCCGCACGGTACCTAACGGAGAGACAGACGGAAAGATATATTAAAACATGGGCTGGTACGTCTGTGTGTCCGCACGGTACCTAACGGACAGACAGATATATTAAAACATGGGCTGGTACGTCTGTGTGTCCGCACGGTACCTAACGGACAGACAGATATATTAAAACATGGGCTGGTACGTCTGTGTGTCCGCACGGTACCTAACGGACAGACGGAAAGATATATTAAAACATGGGCTGGTACGTCTGTGTGTCCGCACGGTACCTAACGGACAGACGGAAAGATATATTAAAACATGGGCTGGTACGTCTGTGTGTCCGCACAGTACCTAATGGAGAGAGACAGACGGAGTGTCCCCATCAAAATTGAGCTTTATGAGGCCATAGAAACCCTAACCCTAGGATGTTTCTGAAACCCTAGGATGTTTCTGAAACCCTTACCCTAGGATGTTTCTGAAACCCTTACCCTAGGATGTTTCTGAAACCCTTACCCTAGGATGTTTCTGAAACCCTTACCCTAGGATGTTTCTGAAACCCTAGGATGTTTCTGAAACCCTTACCCTAGGATGTTTCTGAAACCCTTACCCTAGGATGTTTCTGAAACCCTTACCCTAGGATGTTTCTGAAACCCTTACCCTAGGATGTTTCTGAAACCCTTACCCTAGGAGGTTTCTGAAATCATATACCTAGGATGTTTCTGAAACCCTAACCCTAGGATGTTTCTGAAACCCTAACCCTAGGATGTTTCTGAAACCCTAACCCTAGGATGTTTCTGAAACCCTAACCCTAGGATGTTTCTGAAACCCTTACACTAGGATGTTTCTGAAACCCTAACCCTAGGATGTTTCTGAAACCCTTACCCTAGGATGTTTCTGAAACCCTAACCCTAGGATGTTTCTGAAACCCTAGGATGTTTCTGAAACCCTAGGATGTTTCTGAAACCCTAACCCTAGGATGTTTCTGAAACCCTAGGATGTTTCTGAAACCATATACCTAGGATGTTTCTGAAACCCTAACCCTAGGATGTTTCTGAAATCATATACCTAGGATGTTTCTGAAACCCTAACCCTAGGATGTTTCCAGGGTTGTTGGAACCCTAACCCTAGGATGTCTGAACCCTACCTAGGATGTTTCTGAAACCCTAGGATGTTTCTGAAACCCTAACCCTAGGATGTTTCTGAAACCATATACCTAGGATGTTTCTGAAACCCTAACCCTAGGATGTTTCTGAAACCCTAACCCTATGATGTTTCTGAAACCCTAACCCTAGGATGTTTCTGAAATCCTATACCTAGGATGTTTCTGAAACCCTAACCCTAGGATGTTTCTGAAACCCTAACCCTAGGATGTTTCTGAAATCATATACCTAGGATGTTTCTTAACAGAAGAAGTGAAGTACACACTTCGGTGACACTTCACTTAAAGCATGCAGATATAATGCATTACGATGGGGTTATAGTGGATTATAAAGACGTTATAGGCATGCAACAACAACTCCAACGCAAATTAAAAACAAATCTCAGGTTATTAATACATTCATCCCCAAACAAAAATCTATGGCATTTGATATCATTCAGACAGACTCATTGGGCTAAAAAACAAATAGGCCTGGTTGACGTTCCAGGTTGCCTACACAGAAAGGTTGCACCGTGCAACACTTCAGCAACGTAGGCGACCTGGAACGCCTCCACCAATACATTTGAAAGTGCAGACTTACACCAAGCAGCTGAGGTCAGCCAGGTCATCGATGAAGTCAAACAGTTGACTGATGTCATATGTGATGGACGGACTATTGGGGTTCATTCTCTTTAGGTGTTCCTCGTACATCTTACAAACACCTGGAAAGAGATTTATAGATTAGTGAAAGTGAAAATATATTCACCGGTTGACCATCTAACGGCATTAACGTTCTCCACAACGTTGGTTTGCTTAACTACCCTGTGGTGTCCTAGAGGTCAGCGGACCAGCACGGTCTCACAGACTGCGTGGGTTCCATAACCTGCTCTGTCAGTTTAGGTGGCTGTCAGTTTACCTTCCATGCACTCGTTGACCGATTCATAATCAGCATATGTCCTCCCCTCTGGCCTCTTAGTGGGCTGGACCAACAGGATCGTGTGAGACTGAAACAATAAAAACACATGAGAGATGGCAGTATTCAAATCTCATTGTATTGCTTCCTAAACAAGAGGTGTAGACAAAAAAAATAAAAAAAAAGCATTTCACTGTTAAAGAATGAGGAATAAATACACAATGAGTAACGATAACTTGGATATATACACAGGGTACCAGTACCGAGTCGATGTGCAGGGGTACGAGGTAATTGAGGTAGATACAGTGTGTACATATAGGTAGGGGTAAAGTGACTAGACAACAGGATAGATAATAGACCGCAGCAGCAGTATACTGTAGGTAGGGGTAAAGTGACTAGGCAACAGGATAGATAATAGACAGTAGCAGCAGTATACTGTAGGTAGGGGTAAAGTGACTAGACAACAGGATAGATAATAGACAGTAGCAGCAGTATACTGTAGGTAGGGGTAAAGTGACTAGACAACAGGATAGATAATAGACCGCAGCAGCAGTATACTGTAGGTAGGGGTAAAGTGACTAGGCAACAGGATAGATAATAGACAGTAGCAGCAGTATACTGTAGGTAGGGGTAAAGTGACTAGGCAACAGGATAGATAATAGACAGCAGCAGCAGCGTATGTGGTGAATCAAACGAGTTGGTGCTAAAAGGGTCAATGCAGATAGTTAACCAATAGCTACATAGACTAACTATTTAGCGGTCTTACGGTCTGGGGGTAGAAGCTGTCCAGTATTCAAACAACATTTCAGTTTCAATAATGCATGAAACACACCGAGAATCTCACTGCCGATAGGTACTTATCACAGTGTGAGGCCGTTCCTTCTCCGGTACCTGCTGCATGCCGACCCGGTAGCGACGAACCTACCGACGCTATTGTAGAATCGCAATGCTCGTTAGTGGCTAACAACTTGACTTCGAGCCAATCAGAGAGCACGAACCCCCCACAAAAAAAAAAATATATATATATACACAAAAAAAAGAAGGCATTTTCTCCGTACATCCACGGATGAGCCAGTCACACTTCACACGCAATGTAGGCTATGGGATGGTTGCTAGCTAAGTGCACAGACGCAATGCACACTAAATACCTCCTCCAAGCTAGCTGACCACTGTCGCTAGTGTGGGGTTCTATTTTCTCATAATTGGATCTGTGTGAGATGAATAGCTTAGAAGGAATGCATTAATGATAAGCATAGAAGGTTTGTACTATACTGATATAAATTGTTTCACATAACAAGCTGTGATTCATGAAAGGAACGTTAGGGGGTAGGACAGATAAGACTTGTATTTCTTACAGATACGAACACTGCCTCTTTGTTGTCTGTGAACCGTTGTCTGTGAACTGTCCTTGAACTAGGTACTCACAGTACAGTGGAATGGTGTCTTTTGGGTGCTAACTCCACAGGTTGTTATGATAAAAACTTATGCCTGGCAACAGTGTGCAACAGGTGGAGCGCCAAGAGACTGGGACCAGCCGGTGCGCCAACGGATTGGCTGAGTAAGTCTAAACCACGCTCAGTCTCTACTCTGATTGGCCAGCAGGGAGTGGGAAATATCTCTGTCAGAGTATTTGAAGAAGAACCTGTAACAATAGATTAGTTCTCTGAGTGCCCTGCGTGGTATTTCAGTGAGCCCGTATACGAACCATCATACTTATCATACATACATTTTGCATATAATAAATTTAGCTTGGATTGAATATCTCTTGATTTTCTCTTATTCCAATACCAGATTTGAATTACGCAATTTCTAACTCTAGTACTGACATAATTAAATCACAATGGATTAGCTCGTTTCCATGAAACAGCTGCTGAGTTTGTGCAGTGTCCTTAGCTAGCCAGCTATGTCGTGCTAGCTAGCGAATATGCTAACATTAGCTAGCTAGACATTTGGCTATGGGCTGACACTGGCAGTATGGGATTTTGGAGAGTGAATTAAATTGTTTCTTTGTCATCTTGCTAGGTAGTTATCTAGCTGTGGCCATCTGGGTAGCATAAACAAGGGCTTTCTACAAATTAACAACATTAGCGCAGATAGCTTGGTACCTAGACCATTTTTTGTTTTAATCAAAAATAACAAACAAGAGTGTTTTCCAGCATACAGTGTTCAGCTACGAACTGATGACGTCAGCAGGGTGGATGAATTGAGATGGTTTGGGATGAGTTTGGCCGCAGAGTTAACTAGCTACTTAGCTGGTTCATTGCTAATGCCAGGAAGTTAGGCTAGCAAGCATTTTAGCTAGGTAGCCTATGACAACAAAAACTAAAAGTGTACTGTACCACAGAGCCACAGATGGTTTTGCCAACATGATCATGTGCTCGTCCGACATGGTGGGATCTTTGTGTCTGTAAAATTAATTATGCGCTAAATGCCGGTGGAAACTATGCAGTTTATTAGGCTACAGATTAAATAAGTTATGATGAACTTCACAGGGTGATGAAAGTGCACGGTGATCTTGATGCTCCTTTCCAATCAATATTGATGGTCTTATTGTGGCGACATGATCGATGCTTGGCTGCCATTTGACAAATAAAAATATTCTCGCTCTTATCCATAATAATGTCATCATGTAGCCTAGCCTACTAGCACAGCACTCTTATCCATAATAATGTCATCATGTAGACTAGCCTACTAGCACAGCACTCTTATCCATAATAATGTCATCATGTAGCCTAGCCTACTAGCACAGCCGATCCACACTGTATCTGGGAGCTGTTGGCTAGAGCGCACCTGCCAAGACCAGAGTGGGCACAATTAGCTATTTAACGCAACAGTTTGTGACTAAATTATCGGGTAGAGTTGAAAACGCGATGGAAACACACTGAACTTTAGGTTTTTATTCGGGACATGAATACTGAAGCAAAAAGGACATTGTGCGTGCACCAGTGGTGTTGGAGACCACCTAAGATTTCCCTAATAATCCTGTTTCCATGGACACATCTGAAATCGCCAATCAAAAAAAAAAATCTACCACATCGACCATGTTATTTTTGTGAAGTCTACTTGGACATAAAGTTTGCATGTGAAAACTATTTCTAAGACGCATCCTTTCAGGGTTTATTTTTTTTTTCCCGAACTCGCTCGCGCAATAGAAGGAAGGTGTGCAGATTAAATACACCGCTGTAACTCCGATTAAGGTGTGCAGATTAAATACACCGCTGTAACTCAGATTAAGGCGATTGCATGTCCTAATAATTCCTAAGATTGCGCAGAAAACCAGGTGTTTTAAATCGGCGTAAGTCTACTTCGATTATGACCTTCATTAAAATGTGGGTCAAAAGGGAAATAGCATAATTAGAGTTTTTCGGTCTACCGGTGTCCTAGCCATCTAACTACTGTAGCTAGCTACCGGTGTCGCCCCCGCCTCCTCTGTACCGGAGTCCTCCCAGTATCCTTATATAATAATAATAATAATATGCCATTTAGCAGACGCTTTTATCCAAAGCGACTTACAGTCATGTGCGCACACATTTTTACGTATGGGTGGTCCCGGGGATCGAACCCACTACCCTGGCGTTACAAGCGCCATGCTCTACCAGCTGAGCTACAGAGGACCACAACGCCTGCCCTCGCTGTTCACAGAAATGCTGGGACACAGTGTCCGACAGGCCGTGGCGAAGTACACCATCTAGCTACCTATCCCGCCTGCTGTGTACAGAGTCCTCCTAGCTAGCTGAAGTGTATGTCCTATATCTGAGAGATAAAAAAAAAGAAGCTCAGGAAATATTTTTTGGGACACATATTTAACCCGTTTTTTTGTTGCCACAAAACTACCTCCACACTTCCCTTCATTTTTTAAACAGGTACCGGGTTACCTTCAGACGAGTCCTGTGACCATTGTGGGGGTTGGAGAGCAAAACGGATTTGTGAGTCTAAACTTTCCATAGAATGGTCATATTAGTTAGTAGGCCAAACCGTTCGGATGCGATTTTCAGGATGTCTCCTGGTCTGACAAACAGCGCTGTAAAGCTTAATGTCCACCAGATGAGACAAACTCATTGTCAATGGAGCAGTCAGCAACGCTACGTTTGGGACGCCGCACTAAACTGCGGTGTGTTCTGTGTACCGCATATGCGTTCAATATTTTCAACACGTGCGTTGTATTACCGTGCGGTGGTACAAACGTAAATTCATCAAAGTTCCCATGGCAGGGTGGCACCATACAGAGGCCAAATGATGAGGACTATTGCGTAGTTAGAGAAGAGAAGATACCGGCTGAACGACTGGAAATTTGTCTCAGGTAAGAATGACACTGGGACAATTCACAATTACTGCACTTGGGTAGTGCGCCCTGTTGGGTATGTTTCACGCAACCAGCCAACAGAATGGCGTGCAAAATTAATACGCACAGAACTGTTCATAGGCTCTGCCAGCCTGTGAAACCGTTGATAGCTTTGCCAGCCTGTGAAACTGTTGATAGCTCTGCCAGCCTGTGAAACTGTTGATAGCTCTGCCAGCCTGTGAAACTGTTGATAGCTCTGCCAGCCTGTGAAACTGTTGATAGCTCTGCCAGCCTATGAAACCAGTAGGTCAATAGGATAATAACTTTAATCTGTTCTAATTACACTGAACAAAAATAAAACGGAACAATTTCCAAGATCTTACTGAGTTATAGTTCATAAGGAAATCAGTCAACTGAAATAAATTCATTAGGCCCTAATCTATGGATTTCACATGACTGGGAATACAGATATGCATCTGTTGGTCACAAATACCTTAAAAAAAAAAAAAAAAAAAAAAAAGTAGGGGAGTGGATCAGAAAACCAGTCAGTATCTGGTGTGACCACCATTTGCCTCCTGCAGAGCGTCACATTTCCTTTACGTAGTTGATCAGGCTGTTGATTGTGGCCTGTGGAATGTTGTCCCACTCCTCTTCAATGGCTGTGCGAAGTTGCTGGATATTGCCGGGAACTGGAACACTGTGTCGTACATGTCGATCCAGAGCATCCCAAACATGCTCAATGGGTGACATGTCTAGTGAGTATGCAGGCCATGGAAGAACTGGGA